TACTTCCATCATTTTATCTGTGAACTGATTATGGGATCTGGTTCCAAAAGCCTTGCTAAAATAAGATAGCATCCAGGTCAGTCATCTCATTTTAGAAGGCTTCCAGGCTGTATGGGCCTCATTTCCCCATAACAAATCCATGCTGACTACTCCCAGTCACCTTTTTTTTCCTTCATATGCTGGTAAATAGATCTGTAGGAAGATTTGCTCCAATATCAAGGCAGTCTCACGTCTTATGAGGGTAGAAAAAGACAAGCAAAAGTGATCACAGGAGCTGGAGGATGAGGCCTAGTGCTGCCTTTACTCTTGAGAAGTATCATGTCTGTAACAAACCTCATGGTTAGAGGAGCTCTGGTACCAGCGGCTTGCAGCGAGCAGCTGGCGTTGCAGAGATGGTGAGAATTAGGACAGAAGCATTCGGGTGGCAGAGCTTTTTTCCTTCTGGGTTGAGGATTCCCAGCATCATAAAATCACTGGGATCTCATCTAGGATGAACTCAGAAGATGAGTCCTGAAGTTTTATCTTTAAATTATATGTATGGATGTTGCTTGCACAAAAGAGATGGAGCTAAATTGCATCTAAGTATAGGTCTCTGTTGGAGTTCTATACTTAGCACTGTTAATAAAGGAATAGCACCTTCAGAGCATTAAGCATACTGTGACTGAAGAGAATAACTATTTAGTATTTATTTTCATGGATTTACTAGCACAAAAACGTCTTAATCTGAGTGTTTAGCAATAATTCGCTTTAATCCTGAGGGCTTTAATATTTAAAAGGAAAGGGAATCTATGGTGCAGCCTCTTTGGTGGAAATAGAAGAAAAATCTGCAGTTGGAAAATTACAGGCTGTGTAGGTGTTGAAATGCCTCCTGCTTCACATTCTTAATTGGCAGCAAGCCAGATACTAAGCATTTCGGCTTTAAAGGGGAACACTGCCCTTTTCTTTACATTTCTGTTGGGTGAAGTTGATTGCATTTTTTTTTTTTTAGTGGTTAGGATTTCTTTCACCTTGATACACAGTGAATAAATTATTCAAAATAAAACATCATAGCTTCTCCAAGTTACTTTGACCTTTTGCATTATTATTACTGGATGACACAAAGGTATACATTTTTTCCTTGCAGAGATAGCAAGCTGTATTGTAAGAAGGTGTTGGGTAAGGAGGTGTGGACCTCATCTACCCTGGGACCATTTTCCACTTTGGGGGCTGTAGATTTCCCAATTCTGCTTTAAAGCTTTGTTGGAATTAGTATGTAATACTCAGAAATTTGCCATAAGCATGAAAAGCTTTAATATTCATTACATTAAATTAGATAATAAAATGGCTTTGAATAATGCAAAAATAATGCAAGCTGTAAATAGACCAGTTATTAACTAAGTTAAATCCATTTTCAGTGGCTGGCACAATGCTGTTCTTTCACTGAGTTTAGATGTTACAGGGAGACATGGTTTTATGGAGAGAACTCGTACATGTTTTCCAAATAAGATTGCAGGCATCCTAATATTAAAATCAGTCTAAAAATCTGTACTTTTACCCATTATCGCTGTTTTTGAATGGTGTTAAAAATGTCTTTGGTGTAGCTTTGCCCTGTCAAAACTTGTCAACAGTTTTGTGTTTACAGACAACATTTAAAAATATGTAGTGGTGTGTGTGGTAACCAGCCATTAAATTGACTCCTTCTACTTCTCAAGAAAACCACATCAGCTTAAATCAGTGGTAGTCTGAACAGAGCATTAAAAAACAGAAATACTGATAATCTTTTTTTTCAGTTAGAATATGCACTGTATTAAATAAAAGTTCAATATTAGAAAAAAATGCATTATTGTAATAGTCATATTCTTTATTGCAAAAGCAAGGTAGATAGCGGGAGAAAAAGATAACCTCCTATTCAAAAATGTAGGACATGTTAATTGTTTATACGTTGTGAAGTCTTTCCTTGAGCTTGAAATTATGTATCTGAAGTTTGTTTTGTTTTCAGGTTGCTGAACTTTGTTTATTAATATTTTTGTTATTGTGTTCTGGTATGGTGAATTTCAGTCTACCTTTTAAGTATTGTAGTATAATTTTCTGAAAGTTCAGAAGAGTGAGAAACTTTGCATGACACTGAGTTGTAAAAAAATGTATTTTAAATTAACATTGTTACTGCTTTCACAGCTACTGCTGTGAAGAAAATGGAAAACGAGGGAAGAGAAACTAAAGTTGAGATTCTTCAATTAAATGATCTGGTATTAAAACCACATGGAAAATCAGTGGTATGGACAGAACTGGAACTCAGGATCTCCTGACCCTGACTCTATTAACCTTTCTTCAGATCACGTTGTCTCTGACAAAGAGAAGTAATTTATGAAAATCTGAAATAGACATATTTATTGGAAAAGAATATTTTTATGCTTCTGCTGATACAAACATAGTTCTCAGCTTTGTGCAGTAACATACATAGTCAATTTTTCATCTGTGTTGACCTCTTTCTCCAGCTGCAATTTTTGCTTGCTTTTTATTACAAGAATACAGATACAATAAATGTGGAGAGCCTACTCTTGAATGACTCCCAAATTCTGCTAGAAGGTCAGAATATTGCAACCCTGGTTACAGCATGTCTGATAACCTTAGTGCTGTGGTCACAGCTTCCTGCTCACTTGTTACTCATATTAGAATTCATGATAACTCTTCCATTTGGGTTTTTATCTTTGTAATATTTAAGATTTGTATGGTCCAAAAATAAAAGACAAGAATACTGATTCCTGGCATGTAGCTCTCTTTTAGAACACAGTAATTACCATGACTGAGTTCGTGAGAGACCCTTCTTGGTTGCTTTTGAGCTCAGAGAAGTGGGGATGATCAATCAATTAGCTGTTATATAGCATCATGTTTGTTAGCTGCTATAGTCAGGCAAAGATCTCTGAAGGTGCTATATATTACTGTGTGAAAAATCAATGGGACCTCTCCCAATGGTGAAGCTCAGCACAAACATGAATACCTCTAGGACTAAGGTTTGTAATGGGTTTCTGTGTGCAGGATCATTTGCTCACCATGCAGATGCACACAGGAGAGCCAGTGTTTGTGTCTGTGCTTATAGGTGGTAGAAGAAAGCAGGTAGACCAGGGGCATGGCCCATTTATTTAGGCTGAAATAAATTGCTCCTTATTCATTCTTATTTCTCTTCATTAATTTTTAAGGGAAATTATCGCAGAGGTAGACATGCACAATGTAAAGTTAGTTTAATTCCATCATGTATGCTTTAGACACATGCTTTCAAGTTACTCTGTACAAAAAATGAGACATAAAGGCAACGACAGGTTTACACTTGATGGAAGAGGAGGTTTTTGTTGGGGCTGAGGTTTTCACAGGTTAAGAACCTTACACAGTGTGATTGTTTGCAGGGGGTGAGTTCTGTAATTACACCCATCTGCAGAATGGACACCTAGCACAAAACTGAACTGTTGTGTGTGTGACTTTCCACCTCACACAGACCAAATGAGGATTTGAGTTCTGGAATTCCTGCCTTCCAGCCTGCACTTAATCTTCCAAAACATGCTCCTAGTCTTAGACAGAAAACTGTCTTTGCAAGGACAGTGAAGAATGCTCTTTCTTAATCTAAACACAATTAAGTTAATGTTGATGCTAACTAATTGTTAAATATTTTCATTAGAAAATTACAGAATGCAAAGAAAAAAATCTAGTAGGACATGAAAATATTAATGTTAGGATATTCTAGTCTGTATTGATTTTAACTAAAGCTTCTTGCTTATTATACAAATATATTCTTGTTTGTAAAAGTGTATTTACATGCATTTAACAAAATAGATTTAAATTGGCCTGCTTGACGGTACCTGTAAATAACTATAATTTCAGCTGATCTTCTGAAAGACATAAATGTTGAGGATGATTTAGAGCATTAGTGGAATGTGTGAAGATTTTGTTAGCTTTAAATGCTGCACGAAGGTTTGCATCTTATCTATGAATTGCCTAATGTACTTCAGTGGCAGGACAAAACTGGGAAGTTGTTCTGTAAATCTACTCTCTTGTGACCCATTTGTGTGCTTGTTCCCCTCTTGAGCTCATATGTTCCACTAAGACAACTTGGAAAGACCTCAGGAAAGGGAGTGGTATATGGAAGTATTTAAATGTAGTTTTACTATGAATTTCATTTTAAAAATGTACGCATGATCATATTGAACACTAAAATGCTTGTGTGTGTACAGTTGAGTGTGACATGCTTATTTAAAGAAGAGCTTTGCTGTTGGAACAAATTTGATTTTGTTTAGAAAAACAGATTTTATGCATTTAAACAGGAAAAAATGTTTTGATATTTAGCTTTAGTGTTGATTTTGGCACCTGGGAATACGTGATCCTTTCTCTTCTGATTCTGTTTTGGAAGTGTATGAGCTTGCATAGTTTTTATTCTCATCTCATGCTTTTTCCTCATTGTTACCTACCCACCCATCTCTCTCTTTTTCTTTCTCTTTTTTCTTTTCTCTTTTCTATTTCTCTTTCAATTAGAGGATACTACCAAGAGACACAGGATAAGAAAAACAAAGGATCTATAAACTAATCAAGCTTTTGCATGCATCTTTAATCACATTGGACATACAGCTGATTATTTTCCCTCAGAAAAGCAAAAATCACAGGTTCCTGTTACATGTTGAGTAGTTTTCATTTATTTCTTCCATCTACTCTCTTCCTATGCTTTATCACCTATATTTATATAATAGAAGAGATTGCACAAAATCACTGCTTTGATCATCCAGTTTGAAATAGAACTTTTTTTATATATATTTTAGAACATTCCATACTAGAAATGATACATAACAGCTTTTTTATGTTTGATATGCTTTTAATACTGTTTTCTACTGCTTATTATATAAAAGTTGTGATGCTTCTTTAGACTTACTAACCTGTGTGGGGTGAGCAAGGGGCTTTTTTTCATTTTTTTAAAATGAAAATTGTGATCTTGTAATCATCTTAGATAGTAATATGTTGTTTGCATATCTTTTTGTAAGTTCTGGCCAGGATATCCAAGGAACAAGTGTGGTGGCAAATCTTCCAGTTCTGATGCGACAGAATCCTGCAGAAACACTTCGTCGTGTTTTACCAAAAATACGAGTAAGTTTGTGTGTGGTGAGGTTTGAACGCATCTTTTTCTGCTAGTCCAGATACTTTAAAAGGGTAAAAAAAATTAAACATTTTTGCTGCAGACTTGCTCATTAGGAGAGGTATGTCAAGCAGATCTTCGACGTTAATTGACTGAATTTATGTAGTTTTGAAAAGTGTTACATCAGTTAAAGAAAGCAGAAGTAGTAATGTTTACGTATTCTAAAGAGTTACCAATGTTTTGACAGCTTTTTGAGAACTCCTTTTGAGGACCAGCCAGTCATAATGGTTCATTTTGACATTCTCAATCTCCTCCCATCCGAACGTTTAAGATTTTCATGCAGCAATCCCGAAAACACACTTTGCTTTTAGCTGTCCTAAAATTCATTTACTACCCTCCAAATTTTTAGTAAGTCACTTCTAGCTGTGATAAACACATGCTATCCATGCAATGTTAAAACAATATTTTTATGCATGTATTTATTTGGATAAAGGATATCTTAAGAAACAAAAATATCTCTGTATTTATACTCAGCCCCAGGTGTGACCCATGGGTTGATGTAGCCTAGAAGAAATTACAAAGTTAATTTAAGGTGTGGTTTTAGGAGCAGCTTCAACCAAATAAGACTGCATGATGAAACAGACGTTAATTCCTTTTAGGTATATCAAGTCAAATGCAAAGCCTAATAATTCTGAAAGTATGTAAGGCTACAGCAGGAATTAAGATTTCAAATATGTTAGCATGCCTGATTTCCAGTGATTTTAAGACTATCAGCAAAGTGGAAAATATATTATTTTTGGGTGTCAAAATATCTGAAAATTTATTTTTATAACAACAAATTGCTGAGTGTTTTTTTCATTTGATCAGGGTATTGTCAGTCTTCTGTTGGTACCACTAACATTTTTTATGTGATTAAATCAGTGTTTTGATTTAGAACAATCTGTGGCCTAGTCTAACGCAACAGATCACTTCGATTTGAGCCTTTTTCTAATTTACACAAATTATCAGCTAAAAAATCACTGTGTTTGTTAGTAGCTGTTCAGGTGAATACATATGCTCTATATGGTAAAGGAGGTAGAAAATCACAGGATTGCTTGCAGAAACTGTATTTTTAAAGCTCTGAGTTGCCTTCATATCTTTATGGACAGACTGAGCGTCCCCGTACATTTTTAGAGAAGCTGTTGACATTTCCAGTAATGCAATTCAGTCATGATTTTACTAGCCACTTTGTAGAAGTTTGGGTTTTTCCCCATATGAATTTAAAATTCATACCCCTTTTTATACAGTTTGCCAACAGGAATGTAATTTTCTTGTTGCAAACAGCCAATGGCTGAGAAGAGTATTTAGATCACTTCAAAAAGATGGAAAGAGTTTAGCTAGTTACTGATTCAAGTATCAGTCTGAAAATTTTCAATATGTAGAACTGAAAGCTTGAGTTATATTCTTGTCCTCTTTCTCTGAAGCACTTTAGGGATAAGAAGAAAAACAGTCTTCTGTAGTAGCTGCTGTGAGTTTTCTTGCTGTGTCTGTATCGGATTCTCACTGCCAGATGTAGGAAAGAATATAATTATATTAGTAACGAAGGTGACATGGCTGAGTCACATGCTTACATTAGTTTCCTGTCTGTTGAGGAGATGATTAATAAATTGCAAAGTGGGCCCATGTGAAAATGGTATTTGTTCCTGGAAATTCTCATTTATATTTCATTGTTTTCTTTGCTGAAATTTTGAAGAAATTAATTGTTTCTTTTATTGATAAGCTGTGTGGATATCTATATCTCAGCTTTTAAAAAATAATTACTATTATTAAGCCAGCTACCTTATTATATTAATATAATAATAAAAAAAATCATACTCTGAAAAATAATTTGGTGCGTTTCTTATTGCCTGTGGAATTCTCTGTTTCCTAAAAGAAATCATAGAAAAAAATCATAGAATTGTTAAGGTTGGAAAAGACCTCCAATATCATCTGGTCCAACCATCAGTGTACCACCGATGTCACCTGTTGAAACATGTCCCATTGGCCTTTGCCCATTGATGCATCCTGTCCAGATCCCTCTGCAGCACCTTCCTAACCTCCGGCAAATCAACACTTTCCCCCAGCTTGGTGTCACCTGCAAACTTACTGAGGGAGCCCTCAATTCCCTCATCCAAGTCATCAATAAAGAGGAGAGGCTGCTTGTGCTGGGGAGATAGGTCAATGTTTGTAAAAATGTTTAAATGTAATAAATTATATTTTGCTCATTTGTTATGAATTGATAGCATAAGAGGTGAGGAACAAATATGTATGTAGCCCTCAGTATGATTATATAGCAAATACTTTTCTGTAGGATACTTAAATGGAAGCCCTACCACATACTTTTCAGCAGGAGGGCCTTAGGTTCTGCATTGTAGATGTACTCAGCAATATTCCGTGCACCAATATATACTGGGGGCTACCCAGCTGGAAAGTTGCTTTGCAGAAAAGGACCCACTGGTCCAGGTGGACACCATGTTGAACATGAGCCAGCAATGTGCCCCCTGCTGCAAAAAAAGCCTAATGATATACTGGGCTGCATTAGGCAGGATATCGCCAGCAGGTTGTAGGAGGTGATTCTGTGAATATCAGACATCACCTTTCAACTTTGTAATATTTCCTGAGACTTCTGTGACTCCAGGAGACTTCTAATTCTTAAGAGGATCTGTTCCAGCTTTGATGTGATTACTTAAATTCAGCAAATGGCCAAGAAGTAGATGTCCTCAGAACTGACAGATTGTTTAAAAACATTGAGTACTTCTGGTTGACGTGTTCTGTGCTATAAAATGTAGGCCAATAGACACTATTTTAAAAAATATTTATATATATAATGCTTTGAGTAAAAGAGTGACTTGAAGTTCCAAAGAAATTGAAAGCCTTTTAACTTGCACCAAGTTTCTGCAGTTACTACTACATGTTATTCTGACATACCATAATGCATTCTTTCCTAAACCAACCTACTGGCTTCAAGAAAATCTTTTTTAAAATTTTCTATTTAAAATACTGAATCAATTTTTGTCACTGGTCTTTCTACTTTGAGAGCAGAATACTTCTGAAATGAGGGAGTAACAAGAAACAGAAAAATCTGGTGATTTTTTTTTTAACTTAGTATGTCAGGTGTTGCAGTGTTGATGAGTTTCCATCAAAGCCATTTTCATGCTATGTTTCTTAAGTATTACTAAACTCTGATATTTTTATATATTGATATAAAGGAATTTTTTTTTTTTGTTATAATTTAAGAATTGAAATAAATAAGCTGTTGGAAATGAAAATTCTGCTTTCATTCTGCAACAAAATAATTATGTATGAACAGGAAATAACTGGAGAAATGGTAGAATTTGCCTCTCTCTCTTTAATAAAATGTCTAACGTAGGAATACAGTTTTTCGTTCTAGTCTTATTTTTTATACAGGAATGGAGAAAAATTTAAAAGGATGATCATTAGCATGATCGAGGCCTGGGGCCTGGAAAATATCTGGGAGTACACTGGGAGTTAGAGATTAGCTTATTCAGATCAGGAGGCACTTAATTACTTTGTAAAAGTATCTTCCTGCATAATAATAAAAGCCATTTAACTGGAAACAGTATATGAAGAAATAAGAGTTAGGAACTGAAGACAGAAAAATTAGAATGAAGCAGACAGTTATTAATAATAAATATGATCAATCTTTAACATACTAACTGAGAAAAGTGGTGGATTTTTCATCTTGCAGTGTCTTTTAAATCCAAACTGAATGCCTTTCTAGATGATAAATTAAATGACATTTAAGTTAATGGGCTCAAGGCAGAGGTGAAAGAGTGAAATATAGTGGCTTCTGGTTTATAGACAGTCAGTCTAAATCTAAGTGTACCTTTTAGCTTTAAACCTTATAAATTAAAACTTTCATATATATATGTGGTAAATTTATTTCTGCGGATATACTCTTACTATTCTTCAGTGGTATCACTATTCTTCAATGGTATTTTGTTATCTAATATTTATTATTGGTAATAGAACAGTTGCACTGCATGTTTACTATATTTTTAACATGTACTTCAGTGTCTTTGACTGCAAAATAGTATTTGACATCATTAGCCACTTGACTTTTTTTTTTTCCTCTTATCCACTAGGAGATTTTATTGGAGAAATAGTCCTGACCATTAAATGGAAACTGTATAGTTTACAAAGGCATAGCCAACTACTCAACTGCAGTTACAGTCCTGCAAATGTAGTCTGGCATTGCAAGGATCTAAGTTGACTTAAATTGCTGCAATTGGCTTCGCAACTATAGATTGGGAAAAATAATTTGTAAATTCAAATTTGCATGTGAAAAATGAGTTATAAAGTAGTTTCAGGGTCGTGTTTATCTGAAAGTATTGTCACCATGTAATTGGATAGGAAAAACAATACTTCTGTAGTGTATTTGCAGAAACACAAAAGCAAAAATACTGCTTTTATTAGAGCTGAGAATAAAACAGATTCAGGCAGAAATAAATGCAACAAATGTTCTGGCTGTCTGGATTACAAATTTCAATTTCATTTGTGGGAAATTTATTAACCTGGTTACTTTTGTAAATAAAAAAATAACATATATATGCAAATTTCTTATCTTTCTTCAAAAAACAATTAAAATGATACCAAAGACTCTTCCTATATTTGACATAATTGTTTTAGGTCTGATATATGCAGAATGAAATAAGAATATATATGCAGAAGATAATATGAGATATGCAGAATAAAATAATAAAATAACACTGAATTAAACATAGAAGATCTAATGATTAAATTTAGTATCAGTGTTGTGGTTATGGTAATAAAACAAATATATCTCATTTAGATGCTAAAAAAGGAATGAGATTATGAAATATCTTTTAAATTATATTGTTAAAATTAAGTGGCATCCTTGTATCGGTTCTTTTGCATAGAAGTCCCCACTCTGGGTTTCTACATGCACCTCCTCATGTATCTTGAAAGTCATTTGTTTAGCAATGAAACTTGAAAGTCGCAAGCAGGTTTAGCATTTTCTGTCCATGGCCACTGCCACCAGAAGCAGTGGAGGGAGATTTCAAGCGTCTATCTGATTTTAGGTGTCTGTCTGGTTTTAGGTTTTTATCTGATTTTTCCACATTCTGTAACTGCAGAAAACTGTAGCTACTCCTGTTGAAGTATATAAATCAAGCCTTATTCAAAGCTGTGTGATTAGTTCCAGACTCATTTAACTGTTACTGATTTTCCTGATATATCAGTCTCCCCTTGAAAGCTTTTCTTTTTTCCTCATTGATTTCATAGTTTAGGAAGACGTGGGGTGATTTTCACCCTATTATTATACCTATTTTAAGGTCCATTCTCATTGTATCTTCTTTAGTTCTCCTTTTTTGATGTGTATTTTGAGTCCTAAATGAAAACTTCTGTCATGTCACCACGGTTACTAAAATGACAGACTGTGTTTCTACTTACAGCTTTCTTTCAGGAGGATTCTGTTGCTGCAGGACATAAAACACATTAAACTAGTTAATTTTCTGTTTTCTGATTAAGGGAATAAGTCATGCTTTCTAAATTTTCCAAGTTTTGATGCCTGAATTTAACTTCTAGACTTCAGGAAAATTCAAGAATATGTTAGTACCCTTAAATTCCTTTAAATGCGCTTGTCTGAGTAGGAAAGACAGGAAAACTATTTTTATTTTTATTTTTTTTTCCTCCAGAGCGGGAAGCTTTGGAGATTCCATGTGTAGAAAAATACACTACTTTCTAAAGAAATACATTCATATGAAGTATATTTAAGTCATCCAGCTTGAGTTCAGTGTGGCTGAAATAAGAAGGGGAGACCCATACAGCTTTGTAGGTGGATCTTTATAGTTCTGAGTGCAAACGTCAATGCAGGCAGATATGTAAGCAGTCTAGAAAATTACAATTTAATGTCTTCTGAGGTCTATGAGGAGACGCATCCAAAGAATATTTTCTTGTGCATGATTATCTAGAGTTGTACGAATCTGTGGAGGAGACTGTTTGGAAACTTGATTTGATAGTAAGTAAACCTGTTTGCATTGAATGCAAAGTGAGTATGTCCATAACTGGAGTGCAGCTCGATTACGGTCTGATTGATCTACAGTGAGGTCTCAGCATCCACAGTGTGAGTGATAGTTCTTTTGGTTATTTTGGGGGTGTTTTTGAACAAGTGTAAACCAAAATCCCAGAACAGTATGCACTGGTCCCAGCCACATTTTTTATTACAAAATTCATAGGTGGTCTTATTCTTAGCTATGGCTTTAGTAATAGCAGGAGAGGAGCAAGGACAGGCAGTCTGTGGAGATAACAAGAGGGTGGTTTCCATGGCTATTGAATGCAAACATTTTATCTCACTTTGGTAAGGTGCACAATGCTGTTTCTTTTCGTCATTTTTGTGGTGGGAATGCTGTTACAAATATTCAGAAATATATATAAAAAAAATAGTTATTGAAATATAAATAATGATTTTATCTGAAATTAGATAAATGAAAAATTAGGCTTTGCTGCACATTTGCATACACAAACTGGTTGGCATTTCTGTAATGAAAACTTTGTTGTTCTACTCTGAAGTAAGGAAAATCTAAATCATTTCTCAGGTGTTCTCTGTAAACCGTACATTCTCAGCATAATTCTATATAATGCTTAGGTGTATAACAGATGTTTTCTAATTTGGTTTACATGCATTTTTCTTTACATAAGAATCGGTTTATAGTTGATTTTTAGTATGTGATCTGAGAAAGCACTTTATTTCAAGCACATTAAAAAAAAGCAGAAACAAAATATACAGAATGATGAATAGGAAATACAGGCATTTAAGCTGATACAGAGTTTGGAATCAGTTGTAAAATGATTGTAATGTTTTAGTAGAATCATACATTTAGAGAAGTAAACTAATGAAATTTTCATGCAGCTGATAGATGTGTACATACTTAAAATGAACACTATGTCCTAGATTGTATTCTGCAAGCTTTTTGGGATGTGAACAAATCTGAAATTTAAAGTTGCTTTTTGTTTCATTCCAGAAATTCAGTAATATTTCATTTCCATATTTTGTATGTTTATTTTTTGAAGTGATGCTTTTAAAGACAACCTAATAGTTACATTTCTTAAATGTTAAAGCCAAGTGCTAGTAAATGCCAGGTTACCTGAGTGAATACCATGGTACGTCTTGCTCTGTTTTTAAGATGATCACTATATTTACATTTTCATTTGTGCTTCATGTGAACTGGCAAGGAAGGAAATTTGAATTACCTTCCATTATTTTAGTATTGCTCACTGAATGAATGAAATATATTTTTTAATTCATATGCACAAACAGAAGCAGAAGTGCAATTGTTATCTGGCCTGTTTTCTGCATCTCATTTTGTAAAGCAGAAGCATCCACACATATACATTGATGAAATTGAAAGTCAGAGAAAATATAGTTAACTTTATTTTTCTTTAAAAGTTCATTTTATAGTATCAGAGATCTGAATATCCACTATTAACTACTGTTAGGGGAAAATAAGTTTACAACCAATTTTGTAGTTTACCAAGGTCATTGCATGCTCATTCTTAAAACTGAATGTAAAAATTTGAATGTTCTTTCAGTACAGTTCTGCCTCATGTTCTAAATCGATATAATGTCTGATTATACAGGAGGTGCTGCATGTTGCAGGAGTGGAAATGCAGTTAACAGCTGCTGTTTCATTTTTGACTGTTCTGCAAGATGAGTCGGTGTCCATTCATACATACTCCCACTCCTTCCTACACATCATTCTCCAGAACCTGGAACACAGAGATGCAGGTCAGGGCTGTACAACTACGCTGATGACTGAGTATTTCTATATGTTTTGTTTCCTTAGTGACAGTACAGTACTGTGTAAAGCAGTAAGTGACTTTATATCTAGACTTGTATGAAATAAAAGATTTTTGCATGCTGACCGTGTACATACTGATATTTAAAAGTAGTTCTTCATATTGATTGAAACAATCAAAAGCACTTACTCTGAAAGACTAAATCTAAAACTTGTTAGTGAGTCCATGCTACTGTTAAAGTATCAGAATTCAGTGGCTAAGAAAATGGAGAGAGGTGTTGTTTCTACTTTAATGGTTTGTTTTTCTTAACTTCTTTGACACTATTTTTAGGACACACAGAAAAATAAAGGCCTCTTGTAACACTAGAAAATTTCAGTGGGGATAAGAAAAGGTTATGCTTCTAAATGAGAAATTTGTCTTTTCTAAACAGAGTAATTATTTCCCTGTACAAGAATTAATAAGGCAAATGTAATGGGGACAGAATTTGGTTCTCACCTATTCTGTTTCTTAATCACAGAATCAAAATTATTTGGGTTGGAAGGGACCTTAAAGATCATCCAGTTCCACCCTCCTCTGCCGTGGGCAGGGACACCTCGCACCAGACTAGGTTGCCCAAAGCCCCATCCAGCCTGGCCCTGAGCACCTCCAGGGATGGGGAATCCTCAGCTTCTCTGGGCAGCCTGTGCCAGTGCCTCATTACCCTCTGAGTGAAGAATTTGTTCTTAATACCTTACCTAAATCTACCTGCTTTCAGATTAAAACCGTTACTGCTTACCCTATCACTACATGCCTTTGTAAAAAGTCCCTCTTCAGCTTCCTTATAGGCCCCCTTTAGATAAGGTAAAATCTTCCTGGAGCCTTCTGTTCTCTAGGCTGAATAACCCAACTCACTCAGCCTGTCCTCACAGGAGAGGTGCTCCAGCTCTGTGATTGTCCTCATGGCCCTACTCAAGACCCACCCAAACAGGTCCATGTTGTGGACCCCAGAGCTGAGTACAGTACTCCAGATGGGATCTCAAGAGAGCAGAGTAGGGGGGAAGAATCACCTCCACTGACCTGCTGGTAACACTTTTTTTGATGAAGCCCCATTTTAATGAGTGTCTGAAGTTTTGAATATTAATTTAATGTCTTTTAATTATATATTTCCTTGAAGAGGTGAATAGAAAAAGAGAGAAGTAATTTTGTAAAACTGACGGGTGTTTTGTTATACTCATTATATGTGCAACATAACATATAACCCATTTCTTTCTGACAGGTGTCAGCAATGCATGGCTAGAAACCCTTCTTGCTGTAATAGAAGCTTTACCCAAAGAGACTATCAGACACGAGGTAATAATATTCTCCCCACTTACGATAGCAACAAATAAAAGATTGTCGTTTTCTGCCAGGCTCATTTTACATCAGTACGATTTGTTGCAGTTTTATGCCTGTGAAAGCAGTAGTGTTTATGGAACATACTGTAAGAGGGGAATGTGCTAAGGCAAGACAGGAAGGTCACCATAGAAAGATTTAGTATTCTTCAGCAAATGAATCCTCTGTGTTTTCTAACACTTCCCTTACACTTAGTAGTCTTAGTAACATGTTTTCATATATCCTGTTTTGGATTACAGGATAGTATCTCATTCTTTGTAGTGGACAAAAGTATTGTATTTCTGCCAAATAGGAATGAATGCTAGAGATGCATTTCATTGTGTGCTTCAGTTGTTTTTGATGTACCAAAAACCTAATGCCCTGCAAGCACTTAATTCTTTACCATGTAGCTTTCGTAAGAGCGAGGAACTAGAAAATAATGTCTCCCTTTTTGTCAGCTAGTTTGTTTGGTTTTGTTTTGAGAATTCATATTTTACTGTTAAGCTTAAAAGCTTTGAGACAGTGATATTTTTGTGTCCAATATAGAGATGCAAATATATAAACATTTCTGTAGTTTAAAAATACCGATTAAAATCAGTGGGTAATTGAAATCCAGCACTGTTTAAAAAATAAACTTCTAAAAGGTGAAAACAAACTACAGTCAGCTCCAAAATCTAGATGTAATGTAACTTTGCAGATGCCATTTAAACAGAATGTAGTTCTGCAGAATCAGTTTACTCTGATCTTTCACTAGAACATAGTAACATATTTATATGCTTCCACAAAAATGTTTTGAGAAGATCACAGTTGATAAAGGAGTGTTGATTCAGCAACTGTACAGAAACCAGCTGAAACCAGCCTTTTATGTTACTTGAAGGATCTTTATGTCAGAAAACTAGGAATACTCTAGTAGTTTATTTTTTAGTAAATAAGTAAAAATCATAGTACAATCTTAGATTCCAAGGTTGTAAGGAATTGTGTGCTGGGTCAGACTACAGGTCAGCCTAGCCTAATATCTTCTCTCTGGCAATGGCCATTTCATGGGAGAGACTGTCTAGATCAGTTATTAAGTTACTAGATGTGGTGTGTTTGCTGTCATAGTCAAAGACCAAGTAAATAATACACAGTTTTATAGATAACTGATGAAATGTTTATGAAGTATACCTGTTGTACTAATTCTAGTCTAAGTGAACTACTTGTCCTTATAATGGAAAGATGCTCTCACATCAAAATTTTGGTTAGTAAGAGGAGAGAAATGCTTTTAGAATACTGTTAGGATAATATACAGGGCAGGAAAGTCTTTTTTGACAGAGAAGTGAAGTTCTTCCTGAGTGAAGAACTGTAGCAGACTTCAGGAGAAACCTCTTTGTAATGTATTCCCTGGTCTGGCACCTGGATTTCTTTGATATTTCTGGGCAAAAAATAGGGTATCTAAAAGTGGAGTTCTGCAGGCCTTTCTCTGTTTCTGGCACCATAGAGGTGATCCAACAAATGACAGCACAGCTAAGATGCTGCTTTTCTGCATCTATATGGAAATGATTTTTTTTTTTTCCCTACGGATCCCCAAATTATGTTTAAATGAGAGGGACTGTTGCTTCAAAACTTCACATTAAAAATGGTGTTTCGTGGGAAAACTCACGAGAAAGAACTTCTCTCTCTCTCTCTCTTTTTTTTTTTTTTTTTTTTTTTACAAGAGCATATTTAACAACTTTTGTCAAAATTACCAGCTAATAGCTATAAATGTTCATATACAACTTAGTCTCAAAATAAAGACACAAGTAGACAGATGTAAAACTGGCTCTGATGTGAATCACAAACTGCTATTTGGGCCAAGATATTGATTTAATACACTATAATTAGCACTGAATATTAAATGCAGGTTTCCAGTAGACTATTAACGTACATATGTATTACTATTTTTAGTACTGTTTAATTCCATGAACGGAGTAGGTGACATTTGTGTTATGTTTTCCTGGATTTTTTTTTTAAGAAGGGGAATACATTATTTACTGCTGATATTTCTTCTCTTTTCCTTTATATAGATCCTGAATCCACTTGTTTCCAAGACACAGATTTCTCAATCACTTCAGTCCCGCTTAGTTAGTTGTAAAATCATGGGAAAATTAGCTTACAAATTTGAAGCTCATATGTGAGTAGACCGTCCATGTGTTTTCTTTCCATGGTTTATATCAGTATTTCTTTTTTCAGACAAAAGTTGGCACAAGAGTAGACTTGATTGCAAAAATTAAATGCTTTCCTCTTATAGATCCCTTTATTAGGGTAGTAAGTAAAAATAAAAGATGTTCATTGTGTAACTATCATATTCACACTTGTTGATGTACATCAATTTATAACTTCAGATTGTATGGTCTTTCACGGGTTCAAATGGATGCCATTTTCACATCATTCTTGCATATTGTTTTTCTTTCTAGGAATGGATGTCTCTGCAACGTAGAGACAAAAAACACATCACCTTAGATTTTCTTGTCATAAAGACAAACCCTTAAGAACTCTTGTTCCTATTTTTTTTCCCTACATATAACTATGTGGAGATGCATTAGAAGCTATTGTTTTTCCCTGATAGTATCCAGCTATTAAATGGGGTTGGACTGGTTCACAACAGGAAAAGTAAATCTGAATACCTTATTTGCCCCAAACAGTTGGTACAGTTCATTCTTTGGAGTCATTTCAGTCTTATGATAGTAGCACCTTTTCACCAGTCCAGGCAATTGGACGCGTTTTATTTATTTATTATTTATTTTTAATGTTATGAAAGAAATCCACCGAGGGTTACTAGATTCACAGCAGCCATGTCTAGCTCAGGAAGTTCCGTCTGATAGTGACTTTCATCTATCACAAAATGCAAAAATTCAGGATAACGGAAAACATGAACAACAGGACTGTATGAGAAGATGTTTAGGAATAAATTTATTTAAAATATGATTTTTTTCTTCAATAAAAAGAACTGTAAGCAACTAAAATGAAGCTATCTAGAACCTTCATTTGCTATGTTGATTACACATATCAGACATGAAAAAGCTACATGTTAAGAAGCTGGTTGAAAATTTTCTGGATATGTTAGAGTTCTCTGCGCACAGTTTAGAGAGCTGAAAAGAGACCTTGATCCATGGGTTTAGAATGTCACAGGCCGAATAAGATACAAGACACCCTATCATTACTCTTACAGGACGGGTTTTGGTATTGGCTAAGGACATGTTTGGCCTCAGGAGAAGGCAAACATAAGATATATAAACATATCTTCACTTTATTCTTCAGAATGGCACTGGTTTTCCTCATAAAATATACACTATAATTAAAATCCTTTCTTTCATATTTCACGTGACTTCCAGGTTATGCTATAGATTTTGGACAAAGTCACAACTGTGGAATAGAACATTACTTTGTCTACCCTCTGTTCCAACAGCTAGCTAAAATTGAGTCTTTTTTTGAAAGTACTCCCTACTTTGGAGGAATCTGAAGTGCCAAGCTCCCAAGATTATGTATAATCTTTGCAAGTTCTAGAAAAATTTTGCTATAACAAGTAAATTAATTTTCACTGTGATAAATGGAGGCTGTGCAAACTGACTTAAAAATTTGCTTGTCTGTCCTCATATTCTTTCTTTTGAATTTTAAAACAATGTAAAGATTTGGATAGAGACACTTTATGAATACTCATGACAGCATCTTGGGCAATGAAAGGAAACACAAAGGCCAAATCTGCCAAGCTGTAGTATGTGTTTTTACTTAAAGAGAATTCAAAATAGTTGTTTTGTATCTGCCATTGATTTAATGTGAATACTTGCATCTACTTGCTTAAAGGCATTGCAGTGCTGAAGCTTTTGATCTTAAATTCATGTTCTACATTCTCCTTAAATATCTCTTTGGTTATGCATGCATACCAAAGCAGAGGTATTAGAGACTGCCAAGTGTGCTGTCTCTCCTAATCCATTCTATTGTTTTTATTTCACTAGGCCCTAAAGCCTTGATAAGGAGTGATATCTCATTGTACAAAATGCCACACAAATACACAAGATGGCAAAAATACACAGGCTAATCTTCACCCCACAGCATTACTAGTCACTACGTCAGCCACTGTCCTTTTTTTCCTATGTGTGGATGTTTTTTGGTCTGTTGAATTCTGTAACATATAGACAGCAGTATTCTAACCTCTTAACAGAAGGCCAAAGAGTACATTAGTTGAAATTAGTTGAAATCATTCATTCATCTCACCTTCAAGGCTGAAAGATATGGAAGAAATTACTGCCTTCACCTAGATGTAGTGAAGCTTAAAGTTAACTTTTCTATGTATTTTATAATCCTACAATAGCCTAATGGCTTCTGAGATTATGGTAGTATATGGATCACAGTTTCAGTTCATAATTAGATAAATGTTCAATAGGTTCTGCAATTTGGACTGTATAATGTGAAAATGGAGAGAGAAAAAAAAAAAAGGACACTGGTTTTCACCATGGGAGCAAAGATTCTACTTGGCATATGTACCAGGCTGGACTTCAGGTCTTACGAAATGTTCAAAAGCTGTAAGAATTAGGTTTATCTTCAGGAAAATGCTGACTAAGTTTTGTGGCAAAGTTTCAAAAGGTGTCAGAAGACTGACCTACAGCAGTGTTTAAGTGCTGTTTTGGAGATTAATCAAGTGATGATTTGGAGCATCTTTGATATACACAGGAAAAGATTAATACACATCTGAATCAATAGAGCTGTCTTATTCCATTATGATTTCTGACTCAAAAAAACACCAACTTTTATTAGGATTCCTATCTTTTCTGTTTTCAAAGTAAAGACAAGATTATTTGGGATTTGCACGTCCATTTATATTGTATTCTTACAGTGTTTGTTCAAAATTTGTACTGAGAATAGTTATGAAATGAGGACAGCATCTCTAAACCTATCTGCTATTTTGTTAGTTTAAAAAACATAATAGATGAAATACGAGGAAATAATAATGACTATAAATAATCCTTTTTCTACTTCTTAATAACATATAGTTTATAATTTTAAGTTTTCAGAAAAATCATTTGCCACGTTTGATAAATTAGTTAAAAAATTGATCTTACAAGTCATATAGGGATATAATTTGAGTACTATAAAGAGGATTTTATATATTATTGTTCTATATATTAATAAAAAATGTTCACGTTTTTAGTGTTAAAAGAGAGATTCTTCCATTGGTAAAATCACTGTGCCAGGATGTAGAGTATGAAGTAAGAACTTGCATGTGTCGGCAGCTGGAGCATATAGCTCAAGGAATAGGGTGAGTATAATTTGCATAACTGCTTTTAAATGCAAAATCTTCCTATGAACTGTTTAATGGTAACCTAAAAAGAGATTTTTTTTTTTAACCCTTTTAAGTTTTCTAACTTAATTTTTGCATGTTTAATAATGAATTTGGTGTGTGCTGGCTAGTTCTTAGAAATTACAGTTGGCTGTTGTCCATTTTCATATTTTTACTTCTTTATGATAGTAGAATTGCTGAACCATAAAAACATTTTATTTTTTTTTTGGTAAATAATGAGTTTATCAATAGCTTCCTGAGATCATTTCAATTTTATGTCGATGACACTAGGTATATTTAAAAGTATGAGGATTATGGCAAGTATTGTTTCTAATTATTATTATGCAATTTTTTGTAAAAGAATGTGTGTTTTGCAAGCAAATTTCAGTTCATTGTCAACTCTGACTCTAAGTCTGAAGACTTTCATAATGCACATATAGTAATAGAAACAGTTCATGAAGATTTATTTTAACATAGCACAGAACATATTAACCACACATCCAGGGGTAGTCCCTAAGTGAACAGCTATTTTAAAATTCTTGGTCTGTCCACCTGTTGCTGTGCCAGGAAATAAAAATAAATAAATAAATAAATAAAATTAAAAAAAAAAACAAAACAGTACATTGTCTTACAGACTTGAAGAAACAATCAAGTGATATTCCCTGTTACCCAGGTGGATAGATTAAATCTTAATAGTCCCTCTGGCCTCTAAAATTGTGAATTTATGAGCAGATTCAGGGATGAGGCTGAAACATGATTTGAAAGATACTGTAAAAATGCACTTCAGTTTGTTAGTACTGATGTTTGTGGAAGTTGTGCCTGTGCCTGTGGAAGATATTTTTTTTAATGAAGAGTTATGTTGTTATTTAGATGCCAGGTTTTTAAAACAAACAAAAAGCCCCAGGAATTCCTGTAAACAATGTTGTTAACCTGTGAGTCAGGGAATACTGAAGAAATGCATGTTCATGCTGTTTTTTAACCTGCTCAGATAGAGGGGAAATAATATTCACAGCAAGAGCTAAGCATTGCTGTAACATACTTAATTTCACATTATTTTGGTAATGTCATACTGTTCAGTAATTTCTACATTCCCAGATAAACTTGCCCATATTGCATATAAAATAATTTTATATTTGTGCTTTAGATGGCTCTACTGCAAGGTCCTTGCAGTAGAAAATTCAAAGGATGTGAATAATGTTGAAAATATAATATTATTCATTGTTATTCATAACGAAGTAAAGTATTCACTTGTTTTTGTATTTATTTTCTTTTATAACAAAAAGGAGCTTAGCATGGTTAAACGTTTTAACATTTTTTATATTGAACAGCTTTGTATTTAAAAGAGCCTGTGATTGCTGAAAACAAAGATAGTATTTGTTGATATTTATAAACTGAAAAAATAATAAACACTTTACTAAACCGAATGACTGAATAATTTGAAAATGTATTTATTCTGATTGCTCTCATGTATCTCATGTATCTTTAATTATCTTAAAATTGAATTCTGTTTAGTGGGAGATTAAAGATGAGTGAAAGAGAGGGTTCTGTTTTTCTTCAGGGATTGACCACTTAAAAACTCCTTTAAAGGGAGGGGTGGTTCTAACCTGTCATGTTAGTTTGGAGTCTTTAGGTGCTACCAAAATGGAAAGCCACAAAAACATGTCTGCAAAGCATTTTTTTTTAATTTTTGCTTCCTGATTTCAGTCTTCACTTGGAATATAGTCCTTTACTTCTCTCTTCTGTCTCTTTCTCCACTGTATGTTCTTGTCTTTTTCAGTCATCTTCATTCCTCTTTTCTTGTTTGTTTTTGTTCAATATTATGAGATATTTTTTTTTGTTGTTTTCATATGAGATAGAATCTGCATTTCCATAGATTTCTCTAACCTTTTCAGTTAACCTCTTTTATAATCAAGAGCTGAGAAGCAATCATACATGTATGAATCTGTCTTTGAAGATGATTTACACAATACAGCACAATATATATTTTTAAAATAATCTATATGTTATTTTGAGTAAAATAAATATTATCTAGGATGTGGACATAGTCACAGAATATTGCTTTCATATAAACCTGGAAACCTTTTATATATTTGAAAAAACGTACAGCTGCATAGATTTCCCTGCCCTGTAACTCAGTCTATTGAGAAGAAGAAAGTGGTTTTATACAGCAGCTTTTAGGAAGCACTTGTGTCAATCTGTGAATATTCTTTCAACAGTTTTTTTTCACATATAAGACAGGTATATATGGACAGGCAGGTATTGAAGTACACTTGAATGTGTGCATTTATGTTGTTTTCTGTACTCCCTCTCCAAGTGCTTTTTAATTTCAAGATATACTTGATATGAAAGCAGAAACAATAAAATTATTTTCATGTGTAACAAGGGGGCAATAACTTATACTAATAAATGACCATTTTGGAAAGGAAATAACATTTTCTTCATTCTATTGAATGAGGAAAGACTTTCTGTCTTTAAAATGAACTAAATTGGATGTATTATGCCTTGGAGATGGAAGTCTAAAAATGAGGTAGGTATTACTCAGTGGCAAATGGCAGTATTACAGTCAATTTACCCAGCATTAGTACGGTAGTTTAATAGAGCTAAATACATAGTTATCAATTAGTGGTCCATTTTGTATCATTTCCTTTAATTCTTTTCTCCCCAGCTTCTGTTTTTAGCATTTACATACCCATACACACTGCTTTCTGTCTGAGTTTTCTGCCTGATCCCTCCCCAGTGATTTAGATGCTTTAGTCCACAGAAGTGGGAAACTGTTGGTATTTTCAATGTGTAAGTGGTTGCTGTGTTTTGTGTTGTGGATGAATAGGTAGTAGAAAAATAAAGATAATTAAATTAACAGAAATAAGCACATCTTCACATAAATGATGAAAGCATAATGTGACAGCAGTTCCAAGATGTTACTATTTAGTGATGTTATCACTAAATGGTATTGTGATTTTCTCATAATATTAAATAATTAATCATCTGTTTGGAAGAAAACTTTTAAGCTACAGTTTGATTTACTAGTAACAATAATACTTTCCAAGGTGCAAATCACTGATGCTGGTTATTTATAAAATTTGCAAGTGTTAGTGTTTACATTGACTTATAAAGGGATAGTTGGTCTTGGTTAGTCTAATAGAAAGGAAATTTGGGGCATTTGTAGTTCTGTAAAAGCCTGTCATCCTAGAGGTTGTGATTGGTTTTGTATTAAAAGCTGTGATTGAAATGATAGAATTTGAATTCTTTCTATACATTTGCATGAAGCGTCAAATGTAGCTTTGATTTTGTCATCTCAGTTAACGCTTGTGTAGTATAATTTTATCAGCATTTCCCTGCAGCTTTATATTTTGCCCAGTATAAACATTGAGGGTGAGATCCCTGGCTTTTATAAATTGCTGAGGTCCCATTCTTGAGATCTGGTGCTTACAACAGCTTTCACTAATTGATGGACAGACCAAGAGCTTGTACATGAGAGTGGAACAAAGTGAGCTTCTTATCTTCACTTCTATTAAACAGAAGAAAAAAAAAAAAAAGAGCATGACAGGGTCAATCAAGCAATGAAGAATTAGCTTTTCATTGGGACATTGGAAAGTTGTGCTGGTTGGTAGCTTCTACAAAAGCTGTGCTCTTGCTCCTGGAGATGAATCCTTTTTCATCTTACTTTGCAGTCACCTTACTGTGCAAATGATTCTGTGTCAACAGTCTTTCACTCCTTCTTAGTCACCTCTCTGATGAAACCCTGATTTCTAATTCAGTCCCTAGTATAGCAGTTTGCTGCCAATGTCGAGATTGAAGTTGTCAGGACCATCACACACGCAGACAATGATAGTCATTATCAAGGCAAAAACAGGCAAGCAGAACCATTTTATTACTACTTTAAAACAAGCCTAAAAGCTCGTGTTTGGACTAGTCAGGAAGATGTGTGTTCTCTGAGCAGTAGTTGCTTACCCTTTGTAAAGAAGGCTTGTCTTTGAAACATAGTATTTCTAGATACGTCAATCCAACTCCAGATATTTTATGGTTTCTATGAACCATATTCAATCATTTTGGCTTTGGAATGTACTCTTCCATAACATTGGGCAGTTTGTATTTTCTGAATATTTGATCAGAAGAGTTTGCTTAGTGGCTTAGTGAAATAGCTGGACTCCTTTGAGCTTTTTCAGAATGCATTTTGTCTGATTTATTTTGAGTTCATTTGAATGCTTTTATATAAATGAAGTTTCACATTTTAAGTTTGTTTATTTCCATGGCTGATGAAGAATAAAGTCCTGAGATTGATTGCATATTGTTATTTAATTTTCATTTTCCTACGACTTAGACATTTTTTCCTTCTTGGCCACCCAAACAGTGTCTAAATTGGTATTTCAGGAAATAATAATAATTATTATTTTTTGCTATAGCAACATTGTTTCATTATGTTTTCTTGTTAAATGCTTGCCTCAATTTGCAGGACAGAACTAACCAAAACTGTAGTGCTTCCTGAATTGGTAGAGCTGGCAAGAGATGAGGGCAGCAGTGTACGCCTTGCAGCTTTTGAGACAATAGTGAATCTGCTTGATATGTTTGATGCAGGTAAGGACTTAACTTAGGCTTGGTAGCCCAGTTCTTAATACAGCTTATAAATATAATTAAATTTTTGTTCTGTCTGCAATATTATTTGTTTTCTCATTTGTTCTGTATGTATTTCATGTCCTGCAATGCTTTATGAATACATTTATTTTAAGAAGGGTAAACCAGCTGCCCACAAAATAATTTACTTTCTTATTCTAAGCATCTAGTATAATGAAACTAAGTTGTATGAGTAAAATTACTCTATGAAAGATAGGAATGTTGGGCTGTTAGTATTTACTTAATACTGTTGATATGCATAATACAAAATGTTAGTTAAACATATGCAGATACTTGTGTTTTTTTTTGCCATTAACTTTTTTTTTGCCTCTTAAGCAAAGGTAGTCCTAGGCAGACTGAAGCCTGCCTTCTGAGCTGAAGAAACCAGGCTGGGCAATGACATGATATTTGTGTGTGTGTATCAGCAAATGTTTTCAACATTTTCAAATCTATTTTCAACATTGAGTGTTGTATGACAAACATTAGTTTTGGAACACAAAAAAAAAATTCTTCATGTCCCATAAAATGCAGTTTGCACAACTGATTTGTTTTAGAGGTACTAAGCATCAGCAATTGCTATTTTAATCATAAATTTGTGCATATATGGCACTGAAAGTTTTCTTTTCGCAATGAGAAAGTGTGTGTATTATATAAAGCTTTTCATTTTATTTAAAATGGAAAATGTAAATGCTTGTAATTTTCCCAGTGCTCTTTCCTGTAAACACTTTCCTGTAATATCTTTCCTGTAAACAGCATGAATATTTCATGTTGGTCCAGGTGTAGGGGTGAGTGTCTGTGTCTTCATGGGAGGAAGAAGAAATTCTCTCTTGTATCTGGTACTGGCTTAGTGGTAGTGGGATGCTGACATTCGTGGTGCACAAGTTCAGTTCAATAGTGATTGGAGCAAACTTTAAGGAGAGCTACTCGAACTGCTCCCATGCATGGGAACATTCTGGATAATTGCAGTGCCCTGTCCTACAATCACCATTCCTATCCCAAATTTTTCAGTGGTATATAGGTAGACAATAGCAGGCAGCTTTGGCTCTGTATCAGTTGTGTTCTCCACTGTTTGTGTACAACTGAGGCAGTACAAAGAAGTGAAATACACAAAAGTTCCTTCCAATAATGTATATGTAAAAAGTTTTCTATTATAAGCTCTGTTAGTGATTGTTGATTGCTGCTCATAGCTTGCCACTTTGCTCTTTATATGGTCTTTTTCCAACCTCTGCAGATGTTTATCTTCATTAGCAACTCTGTATTTTGCACCACATTTCCCACTCCCACACCCATCTTACTGACTATACTACTCCCTTCTGATACACGAGTGACGAGCAAATATTTACTTTACAGGAACTTGGTGATGAATTACTGAAATACATCACTATGTATAAGCCATATGGAGACATACAAAAAGAAATAAGATAGTTTTAGGGAAAATACAATCGATGAACTTTTTAGCAATGAGTGCTTATATTAGCAAGTACACTAGTAGGTTAATTTTCAAATTCTTGAGCCATTACACTGATGCTGTCAAGTTTCTGCTTCTCTTTGTTCCTCCCTGTTTTTTCCCCCACCTTCCCAATTGCTTTTAACTACTGCTTTTAGCTGTCAAAAAGAATTATCAAAACCCCAAAAACTTAGAGAAGGCAATCAGGGATTATTAACAGTTTTGCAAGGAATGTGTTTGTAGAAGTTTGGTTTGAGTAATTTTTGGTTTCATGGCTGAACTACAAAACAAACATTGTGAAGGTAGATGACTCAAAATTATATCCTAGGGTTTCTTTCCCACAATAAAAAAATATTTTTTCAGGTCAACCTAAATATGTTGTTCATTTGTATGAATTTGCTGAATCTGGGAATTAAGTTGCCATTAAAAAAAATCCTCTTCCCTTTAAAATCTGAATATTTTCAAATACATTGGCTTTATTTAAAAGTAGTCAAAATTGCTTCTTTGAACATTTCCTTCTTTATTTTATAGGGAAGTGCTTGCCACTATTTGCTGGATTTTACTTCACTTTCTAAATTATTATTATTATTTTTTTTCTTTCCCCTTGATTATTTAGTTTCTCTGTGAATTTATTGCTCACCAAAAGAATTGCAACCTCTTCTTCTCACTAGGTTGAAAAAATTAACTTCCAACAGATCCAGATTTTTCTTTTTACCGTCATGGTCATGTTTGGTCTAGATGTCCCTGTATTCCTACTATTGTAAGAATTTTTATTGTTGGAATACTGTGTATTCTTTATCTCTCTGTATTCCTGGTGAACAAAGAAGTTAGTAGCTGTGCATTTATTTTCTGTCCCGTCCTTTAGTGGTGAGTGCCCTTTCCTTATAAATGCACAAAGACAGACAGAAAACAAGTAAGGTGTTAAAAATCAGGACTTGTGTTATGGTAGTACTCATCACTTTCTTTTATCTCCTATTTTCTGCCTCAGTAAGTGACTGCCAAAAAGATTCCTAAGCAAAATTACATTTTTCATAACTTATTTTAGAAGTCTACTCTATGTGGTCATTTTAGATGTTTGATAACAAATGGCTAACCTTAAAAATGTCTTTTGTTTTACAGATGATAGGAGTCAAACTGTGCTCCCCTTAGTGAAATCATTCTGTGAAAAGTCCTTCAAAGCAGATGAATCTATCCTAGTTTCTTTGTCTTTCCATTTAGGGAAACTGTGCAATGGATTATATGGTACGATTTAATGTTCTTTAAAAATAATCTTTTTTAAGATTAAGGGAAGGTCAGAAAATTTGAAGCACTTAGAAAATATCCAGATTTGAATACATCAAATTAAATAATATGGCACTAAAAGTCTGAAATCATCTATTGCGTAAATATTGGGTTTTGTGAATTTTCACTTAAGGTGTCCATTTGGTTATCGTTCTTTTATGTTTAGACAGGGACAGAAGTAGAAACATAATGGCTTTTATTTATTGATTTGACTGATTTTGTTATTTTATTTTATTATTTTTTGATACTTTGTTGGATATTCTGGAAGATCTGAGTTGGATGACTGAATGTTTGAAACTAGAAACCTTTGACAGCACAGTATGATGCTAACTTTGTACGTTCACTTTTGTGCTTGATATTTTTTTCTGCATAGCCCATAAGGACCTTGAAGGGAGAAAGGAGATCTAATACCATATGTATTTCCCAGCTGCAGCTGAGGCAAAATGTACCCATAATTCCTGTTTTCTGTACCTTAGCACTTGAGCTCAGCAGATCTTTTTCTGATCATTCTGCCCACCTTTGATTCTTTAAACAGAGCTTACCTGGGAAGGAGTAGAACACAGTTTTAAATGACAGTGAATTTTCCCCTAGATTCTTAAGCCCTTTGATATTTCTTACAGATCTTTAAAACGATCCTTTATGATCAGGCTAGACACTATGAGTAAAGTAACAGTTGCTTCACTGCAAATAACTTGAAAGGGCTATTCCACAGGGCCTAAGTGTTTACAGAAATGAAGACCTAGAAGAGGCCATCCTGTTTTTATCATGTCTTCCCCATCTTCTTAAGGTTGACTGATCTAGCTGTTGATGTTCTTTCACCTCTGAATGCCATCTGACTGGTTCCCATTTTTCTCGAAGGTTACACCCTAGTAAAGCAGAACAAAGTGGAAGGCCTATTTCATGCGTTGCAAGCTAAATTGGTTTTTACATTTTTAACTGTGAAAAATACCCTGTTTTTTTTTTTTCTTTTCAAGAGATTGCAATAGTTAGACAGTATTTCAAGTGCAGCCTATGAACAGAAGCAGCTCAAAATTTAGTTTTTTCTTTTTTCTTTTTCTTTTTTTTTTTTTTTTTTTTTCTTTTTATAAAACTATCATCTAGTTACTCTTTCTCTTTCTTGACATATATGGCTAAGCATGATACCTTACCAATGTACTAATGGAATAACAGCCTAAAGTTTTAATACCATATGTCCAGTTTCTGAAGATCATTTTAAACTCTAAAACTATCTTCTGAAGGAATAACAGTCTTCCTTCTAGGTTGATGTTGTCAGAATATTTAATAAGCATATTCTGTAATGCAACATCCAAAAAAGTGAAAATATTGAATAGTAACATTACAAGGATAGGCCTTTCTTCATACATTTGTCTGTTTTGAGAGCGAACTATTTGGTAACTTTCTTGTAACTGCTTTTTCATGCAGTTTTGAAGCCACTTTGAAACCAGCTTATCAATTCTCATCTCTATTTCCCGATCCCTTGCTTATTAAACTGTTAACACACATGCCATTTACTGTTATTTTTGTATTCAAAGGTCTTATCCAGTATTAGATGGAAATGGAATCAGTTTGATAACCTTTCCTTTGCCCTGTTGGCTGTTACTCATTTTCTTGATTCCTTTTCAGTGTTTACAAGTAGATTTTGAGATTTTTTTGGTCATTTTTCAAAACCACAAAGTTAATCTGAGTGATCTATAATTATATGGCTTGTTCTTCCCCCTCTGACGGTACCACTTCAGCCGTTTTCCAGTCTGATGCCACTTACGTAAGATTTCAGCAGCTAGTAATTCTAATATTCTTGCATAGTGAACTGAAGGACATCTGACCTTGCACATTTTGAAAATGTCTGTCATGGCTTAAGTATTCACTGACCTTTTTCTTCTCTACTTGAAGCTGGCACCTTTGTCAGTCATTAATTGTACTGAACCTGATTATACTAGTGAAGTTTGAAAAAGAAAATAAGCATTAAGCATTTCAACCTCTTGGTATCAATCACTGATAGCTTTTCTGTTTCCCTTGATTAGAAAACTCAGCCCTTCCTTGATCAGTCCCTTACAAATGCATACTTATGAAATGACCTGTTAATTTTTGAAGTCATCTTGCTAGTTTCATTCCAGCTTGTATGTTTTCTAATTTTGTTCGTATACCTCTACTATCTGTTGCAAGGTGGCCCAATTTTTCTACTTCCTGGAGGCAAGCAGTGTTCATGTGACTGAGTTCCATAAAGATCTAATTAATTAATAAAAATTAAACCAATAGTAATGGAACAAAAATATAAATACACAGTCCTGCTCTTAAAAACCTATTTCAAAAATTATATAAACAGAAGATTCACTCTGTTGTAGATAGGTGTCATTTTTCTTTCTGCACTAGGCTCAAGGGGGGAGGGTAGGTTAAATCTTGGCATATTTCAAAGATTTGTAAATGAGCTTGGGACATTATTAATAGCATTTGTAATGAGAAAAGTAAGCTTCTTTTATTTTTATTTATTTATTATTTATTTATTTTTGAGGCATTTTTACTCCTGAGCAGCACTTACGGTTTTTGGAATTTTATAAGAAGCTTTCCACACTGGGTTTGCAGCAGGAAAATGGACATAATGATAATCAACTACAACTTCAAACTCTGGAACAGGAAAAGAAGTATATTTCAGTGAGGAAGAATTGTGCTTACAATTTTCCAGTAAGTAACATTAATCTGAAGTTACCTGAGTTGTGTCATGTATATTGTTCACTATATAGAACCATGAGAAGGATAGAGAAGTTATTGCCAACAGTTACGCGTTTTAGCTAGATTCCGTCTCTCCCTTGGAAAATTCAAGTTCCAAGAGATTGCTGGTCTCATTCTTCCTGTAAGTGTTCTCTAAACCGTTAGCACAAAGGCCTTGAAAAGATGACTGTGAAGCAGAGTAGCTAATTTCAAACCATCCAAGGTTAGTTTTTTTGTGTGTGTCATGACATTGCAAGGACTTGAAGATTAAGTCTGAATGTTTAGATTCATATTTTAGATATGTTCCTGCCTGAATACAAAAAGGATTTTCTAGTTTGTAAGAGGTATTTAAATTTACCACTCGTGATTTTCTAAATCCATTTTGTATTTTGACATTCTGCATTTATAAAGAAAATAACACCAAGAGCCGGTAGACAGTTATTTTTATTCTACTTTTTATAGACAAGCACCAAGTATGTAGGTAGAAATCTGTTGGTTTATTTGAGCAAAAAAAACAAGGTATGTACACACACAATTACGTTGAAATTCAGATGCTTGTTTTTTCACTCGTTAAAATGTTCTGAGGTCTCCAATTGCAGTTTCCACTAGATTACCAGAACATTAACATGATGTATAAAACTGAGGTTTTATACCTCATGTTTTTAATCTCTGTCTTCAGAAAAAAGCCTCCAGTGCATCTGAAAGATCTGCAAATCACGTAGTCCTTAGGCCTTTAACTTGTCTGATAGCTGTATTTTGACACAACCATCAAAAATACAAGACTTTGTCTTTAAAATCAAAACCTGTTATCTTCAAGTGTCTTGCTGGTTGTAATTCATTGTTTTCTTCTCTGATAGCGTAGCTTTTTAGCAATACTGTTAATTAGAGACTTTATTTTTCCATAGGCCATGATAGTTTTTGTGGATCCAAAGAACTTTCATTTAGAACTATATTCTATATTCTTCTGCCTTTGTCATGACCCTGAAGTTCCTGTCCGATATACTATGGCCATAAGCTTCTATGAAGTAAGTCTACAAAGCTTCTTTGTTAGTACTTACGTGTTTTTGTTTATGTTTTGTTCTTTAAAATTACATTTATGACTGTTCAACCCAAAGGAAAAAGATTTGAAAAAACTTGTTAAAATTAATTAGTCAAAGGTGTTCAGTCCCTTACAAAACATTATTATAGCCTGTATACATATTAGTGTATTTAAATTGTGTGACATTAGACTACAATAGTTTATTGTGAGGTGAGCTTTTAAGAATCAAATTCTGGAAAAAGCTGGTCTAGTACCGCAAACATAAGCAATTGCAGTAATTGGAATATTTGAATGTTTTGAATGCTATTGTGAGAGGCACAGGAGAAAGGAGCTTGCCACTTTGGTCCTGTAAAACTTCTTTAGAACTGTACATTGTGCTACTATGCTGCCATTCTGTGTAGAATATTTACATATATCAAGACTAGCTTGAATGCTCAAATTTCGTATGAAACTACTTGGAAATTTATGCAGATCTAAAAGCCAATATACTTTTATTATTTGGTTTACAAAAGTTCTAGTACATTATTTTCATAAAAGTTCAAAAAATTCTTGAACTGCATAAATACTATTAGCTATATGGAGTGAATTTGAGAAACAAATGTGCACTCTCTCCTGATTTTAGTAATCCATATTGGAAGTCTTCAAGGTTTTCATAGTGCTTTACATAGAATCTGTGTATTTAAATCCTTAAACTAGCCTTTTATGCCATTATGTAGCTGGGAAAAATGATAAGCTAAGCAGCTTGCTGAAAGCATTTAAATCACTAGTAGGGAAATAAATGAATAATTGAATCATAGATTCTATGAAGCTAAGGTGGCTTTATTTCCACCATCTTAAGGAAGATGGATTGGTTTCCACCTCTCCATGCCTGTTGATGCCTTGCCTGAATGAATGATAATCCAGTTAATTGTTGAAATTATTAAGTTAGCATACCATTCTGCATGTTTTATGTCAGATATATAACACTTTCAAGGTTCTGTCTGCATATATGTAAAGTATTTTAACTCATTAAGAAAAATCTGTAAAGTTATACCTTAGTCTGAATGTACATTTAGTGCTGGTTGGTGTATTTTTAAAACCATAGCTAAGCAACCACATGACAGGCAGATGTAAGTATTTTATGGCATTCACTGGTAGCTGGATATATGTATATATATTTCTGTAACCTCCAGTAACCATTTCCTTAAAACTTAATCTTAATTGGAAGTAAGCTCTTATCTTTATGTGCTTTATATAAACAAAGAAAGCCATTAAAAATCATTGTCTAAGTATTCTGTATGGCAAAAATGTCATTCTTCAGATTTTTATCATGTTTGTTATAAGACTTTTTTAACAGTTTGGAGATGGACTTTTGGTGTTTTTTAGAAATTTATATGTGACTTATCACTGGAAGAACAAAACAAATAATGAAGGAGTGAAATCTTCTTATGTTGGGGAACCTTGAAATGCAGAACAGCCTAAGCCAATTTTTATATTTTATCTTTTGTAAATTATGTAGCTGACTGTTTACACTTTTATGGATCACAAAGTTTGATATTTGAATATTCCAGAATTATTTATTTTTTTTATAACCTTGCAATGCAGTCCTAAATTTTTTTGAAAAATGTGAAATAGAGTTTATTCTAAAAGCATGTTTCATGGTTAGGTAATATATATGTTTCTTGTTTCATATTCTTTATATAAGCATATTTTTAATGTGGTCAACAGGAAAGTATGTAACTTTAGAAGGCTGATATTAAAAAAATTGTTTTGCATCCCCCCATGGTTGTTGAAAAGTAAGCACATGCAGCATAGTTCCTGCAGTGCTATGGAATTAAAGTATGGTTTATCTTGCTATCTCACTGTTTTTTGTTTGTTCTTTTCTTTTTTTTTGAGGTTGCTAAGCTTTTAAATTCTGGTGTGTATACAATTCATAAAGAACTGGTTACGCTATTACAAGATGAGTCACTGGAGGTAATATACTTTTATTGGAACTTTATAATGTTTAATAACTCTGCAATAAGACAGTAACTGCTTGAAATAATCTGTAGCTTTTACTTCTGTTTCACAGACACTTCATAAAGATGCAAGCCTTCTGTGAATAAAAAGGAGGAAAATAGGAAAGTGCTTGAATTCAGTTAACCCATGCTGAATTCAGTGACTTTAAAAAAATATTCATTCTAAATATTTTATTGATTGTTTTATTGTTTATAACCTTACAAATTCTGTGGAAATATTTGGTTTTGGTACTGTGTTAAAATATTTGTTGATAGCATTCCAGGTTTTTGCTTTCTTTTATTTACATCTCTCCCACTGAAGAGGAGATGAAGTTGTCTGTGGTTCAAAGATTGACATATGTAGAAAAGTTTTAGTCCAAGCTCTAGTACAGAATTTCTGGGTGTTCTTGAGATGGTTTAGTTTAGTGTGCCTTAGTTTCAACCTATATAAAGCATGAGTCATGTAGGTATGTATAACAGATACTGTAGCAAAACTTTTGGATTGAAAAAGGTCTTTGTTTGAGACAAAACCGCTGTTTCCTCTTGTACCAGTTATTCCAATACTTGATCCATTTTTTTCTGTATAGGATCCTTGGATATGACATAGAAAAAACAATTTTGCTTTGAGGTGCTCCTTTTGGTATCCTTTGTTAGGCATTTTCAAGGGAATTAAAAGTGTTCATAGAACAACTTTTAGCTTGTGAAATTCTGACCAATCTTAAAAGATTTCTCAAGTTGAATAACTGAAGGTTGAGACTCAGAAGCAGCTGGTAATTTTGAAGAATTATCCTAATTATATCTAACTAATAAAAATATCCAGTATAAAAGTCAGAACTGGTACCAAATAATATTTAATGATATAATTTTCTAGTCTAGTTTCAAATCTAGCAACCTTTGAATGTAAGGTTATTCTGTTAATAAAGGATAAATATTCTGTTCTAAATTATCAATGGCAGTTAAATGAGGAAAAGTTGCTTTTAAGATTCAGATGGAAAATATCCAAAATACATTTCTTCATGTTTGTCTAGGCTGTTAATTAACTGTCTATGAAATGAAGATCATTCTTAAGAATGAATGTTACTTTTTAAATATTGTATGCTGTGAACATTTTAGAAAGCACTGACTGTGGTATTGATGTAAATCAAAGTTATAATTCTGTTTTCCTAAAATGAATCCTATAATACTTATATTACTATATTAAAACATCAGTTTTAAGTCTCAGACCAGGCTTCATCAGTACAAATAAGTTGTACCTCATTTTTTTTTCTCTACATTGGTGTGACAGAGCAGCAGTAACATAGAAGGGATATAGTGGTGAGAGATAGAAATTGACTGGAGTTAATTTACAGACCTCATTTATATGACCTTTCTTTAAATAGGTGTTAGATGCACTAGTAGGTCACCTTCCTGAAATCCTTGAACTAATGACAACTAATGGAGGAGAAAACAGTGGATCAGAAAGCAAGGTAGGTAATCCTATGTTTTTCAATCTACTTTCTAAATCTAAATGAAGCTGGTAGCAAAGTTATTTCAGTAATTGTGTAATAACATTTTCATGATTAGCTTCTGATCTGGAGAAACACAGAGCTTCTGGCTTTTCATTACTTATTTTTATTTTTAACCTTTAATAAATAAGAAAAGATTTTAAAGATTAAACTTACTGTAAAAATGATTTTTTTTTCAGTGGTCTATATCTAATTAACCACAGATTTGCTGAAATAGATCAGATTTTGAAACAGTCATTAAGACAAATCAAAACTGACAATGCTTTTTAAAAATTTTAAAATTTCACACTGAAAGAGAAATTGTTAATACCAATTTTTTTGGTATATTGCTGTTGCAACTGCCAACAGTTGCCGTTTTCAGACATGGTTGCTGGTAAGAGTAAGTCACTTTCCTAATGTAAGAGCATTGAATTAGGACTTGGGAAATCTGAATTTACTTCTTAACTTTGCTTATTTAATTTAATTTTATGTGGCTCTGGGTGATGGTTTATTCAGTGACTCCTCACCCGAAAATGGAACATAAAAGGTATCTTCTGCTTCAAGATGCTGTTTTGAGCTAAATGAATAGAGAATGGTTTTTTTTTGTTGTTGCTTTATGGACAAAAGTTGAAACCTTTTCAGATAAAATTTATCAGATGTTTATAACTGTAAATGCATACAACATGTAACAAGTGCCATGTCAAGTGTGGCAGTGTATTTCACTTTGCTTATTGCAAAAGTGAATTTAGCTTGCCTACTATAAAGTCCTTGCCTCCTACTGAGATAAGGTGTACAATTTCTTCCAAAATGAAGTAGGAAGCTGAGAAAAGTAACTGCAAAGTTTACTAGTCTAGGAGGAAAAGGGGATTTATTTGGTTTAAAGAAGAAAAGACAAAGTGGACTGTCATAATTGTCTTCATACCTGTAAAAGGATATTACAAAGAGAACAGTAAATTGTTTTTCATTGTCAGGATTGGAACTGAAGGTGTATTTAGTTAGTTACTGGAATAGCTTTCTGAGTAGTTAACCATGGAATTTACAGTGTAAGAGAGGTAGTGTAATCATGATCAGATTTTTTTAAGAAAAACTTAGACTAACACCTCCTGGCAATGGTCACAGTATAGCTGATCCTGTTTGCCTAGAACAATTAATTGACTGCTTAAAATCTATCTCCTCTTTACATTGTTTTGTGCTTTGTTTTTAAGCCTAGTAACATGTCATTCAGGTAGAAGATATGAAATTATGTTTATATTTTTATTTCTAGTTACTCTCTATTCCTGACTTGATTCCTGCATTAACAACAGCAGAACAGAGAGCTGCAACTTCATTAAAGTGGAGAACTCATGAGAAGTTACTACAAAAATATGCATGTCTCCCTCATATCATATCGAGTGATCAGATTTATTACCGTTTTCTTCACAGAATGTTGACAATCATTTTGACAAATGTGAGCCCGTCTCTTTCCTGTTGTTTTTCATTTGTTTACGGTATTTAAAACAATTAACACTTGATATTTGCTATATGTAGCACTATTTAAACATTTATCTTAACGTAGTATTTCTCACTGCATATAGTATATCAGGCTGTGTTTTATTTCCTGTAAGATTGAAAAAAAAAAAATGCTCCATGAACTCTTTTTCCCCAGTTTGAGGAGCAAAATTTGTATTGACAGATTATCAAATTCCACTCCCTCAACTATTCTTTCCTTTTTTTGTGCTTGTTACCAGTTTGTTTCTAGGTAAATCAAAACACTTTCCTCTGAGATACACCTTAAAATTATTAAACAAAGCTGCTATCTCTTTGGTTTTGCCTGTCATATTTGAATCAAAAAGTGTATGATTAATATTCTACATTGGCATAACCTCCACCAGTCTGATTTTGCATAACAGACATAACTAAAATTGCAAATAGACACCAAATAATCTACATTTTTCCATGACAACTCTGTCATGACTGCATAGACTGTTGCCAGGCTTCACAAGAACTGTATTTGAGTAGACTAATATTCCCATTCTTCCTCCATTCTCCTTGGTAGGCTGGTATTTTCTGGAATAAATTACGGTCTTTCTTCTCAATGTAGGGAGACAGTGCTTCGTGGGAAATGAAATTAAGACAAAATGGTACATGATAAATTGTTCTTGGTGGAAACATATAAATGTTCAAACATTTCAGGACCAAATTTCTAGGCAAAAAAAGTATTTTTCAAGTAGTTGCACCTAAAAATGAAGCATTTATGCCAACCATATATCTATTCAACTTGAGAAAAGTTTGGGTTATAAAAACTAATAAAAATATTAAAGGACTATTATAGAATCATTTAGGCTGGAAAAGATCTCTCAGATCATTCTAGACCAACATCTAACCTAGCACTGCCAAGGACACTACTAAGCTGTATCACTAAGCTTTACATCTACACGTCTTTTGAAGACCTCCAGGTATGGTGGTTCAACTACTTTCCTGAGCAGCCTGTTCCAGTAGTTCACAATCACTTCAGTGAATAATTTTTTCTTTATATCTAACCTTAACCTCCTCTGGTGCAATTTACGGCCATTTCCTCTTGTCTTACCACTTGGTCCTTGGGAGAAGAGCCCAATCCCCACCTTGCTATTTCCTCCTTTAAGTTAGTTGTAGAGTGTGATAAGGTCTTCCCTGAGCCGTCTTTTCTCCAGGCTAAACAACCCCAGCACCCTCAGCTGCTCCTCATAAGACTTATTCTCTAGACCCTTCACCTGCTTTGTTGCCCTTCTTTGGACTTGCTCCAGCACCTCAATGTCCTTCTTGTAGCCAGGGTCCCAAAACTGAATATAGTAGTCAAGGTGCGGCCTCACCAGAGCTGAGTACAGGGGGATGATCACCTCCCTGCTCCTGCTGGCCATGATATTTCTGATACAAGCAGGATGCTGTTGGCCTTCTTGGCCACCTGAACACTCTGGCTCATTTTCAGCTGGCTGTCAACCAACACCTCCAGGTCCCTTTCCGCCATGTTTCTAGCCACTCTTTCCGCAGCCTGTAGCATTGCATGGGTTTGTTGTGCCCCAAGTGCAGGACCCAGCCCTTGGCCATGATGAACCTCATACAGTCTGTCTCAGACCATCAGTCCACCCTATCCAGATCCCTCTGTAGAGCCTCCTACCCTTGAGCAGATCAACACTGCTGTTCAACTTGGTGTTGTCTGGGAACTTACTGAGGGTACACTTGATCTCCTTGTCCAGATAATTGATAAAAATATCAAAGAGAACTGGGCCCAGTACTGAGCCCCGGGGAACACTATATTTCTAATTAAACTGAACAATCATGAAATGGCTTTGAATGTCTGTTAATCTTGAATTGAAAGATGTATGATGGGCTTATATTGCAAGAAAAGAAAACTTTGATAACTTTTCACTTTGAGAAAAGAAGAACCCAGTCCTTAGTAATGCCAATTATGTGGTATTAAAGGATAAGAAGTGTGTGGAAGTATTTAATACAAGACGTATTGACTTTGAAAAGTCAAGATTTTGGAAATCCCGCAATTTAACCTCATAAACATCAGATATTATTGGGTTGGAGAACACTTAATATATTTCAGAGCTTTTGGCGTACTTTATTTTTTGGCTTGGATTCATAAGCAATTTCAACACATTCTAAAATTTTAATCGTACCTCTTCAGGTTTGATTTACCAAGTAAAAATGTGTACAGCTATATCAGTTTTTCATTCTGCAAGACTGATATATACATTCTTAATTGATCATAGAATCATAGAACCAATTGGGTTGGAAGGGACCTTAAAGGTCATGTAGATCCACCACCCCCGCCATGGGCAGAGGTGCTACCCACTAGATCAATTTGCTCAAAGCCCCATCCAGCCTGGCCTTGAACACTTATAGGGATGGGGCTATTATATGAAAATGTGTAAAGTTGGGCTAACTTTTAGCTATTTATTCTACTTCTTGATTTTTATACATTTTTGGTTATATACTCCTTCAAGTATGTTTAACTGTATTTCTTTTCTTTCTTTCAAGAATGTCCTGCCAGTCCAAAAAGCAGCTGCTCGAACTCTCTGTGTTTATTTACGTTATAATCGCAAACAAGAACAGAGGCATGAGGTTATTCAGAAACTGATTGAACGTAAGATAATTTTTCCTTGATTACTTAAAGATGCAAGTTAGTATTGGCTGAAGATCTATTTATGGTTATATATCTATTCAGTGCAATTTCCATCGTTAGTGGCATTACACTTAGACAGTTGCTCACATTATCACCAGTCAAAACATACTTTGTATATATATATATAGGAATATCTCTGAAGCTTATGCAAAAGAAATGGGGAGAGCCAATGTGGGAAACTGATATGCCAAGACCCTTCCAACCCTACTTCTTGAATCCAAAATTATTTAGTTGTAGGTGCTGCAACACACAGAGCAGAGTTCCTCTACAGCAGTATAATTCTCTGAAGGCTTCAACATAAGAAATGTTGAATAAATCTCAGAAATTAATTTTTGAATGAACTAGTCGCATGAGTAAGTTGACGCTCTGGCCTATGTTGTGTGTTCTAAAGATAAGTTAGAAGGTTGAATTGTTCTCATTAAAATTATTTAATATTTACACTGTAATTTTAATACACCTCGGACATCATCTAAATGGCATGCCAGGCTTTGTTCAATACAGTAACAAGTTAACCTGATATTTTTAATTTTTTTTTGGTTGATTAAAGGCATGGATTGGATATCTGACAAAAGTGCTCACTGACAGAAATGGTCACTGATTTCAGAGGGTTAGTCTTTCACTGATGGGAAGAATTCAGGCTGAAGTGGTGTGCCTTTATGACAAGCGTGATTATCATCTTTGAGTCAAAGGTTAAACTTTAAAAGGGTGACAAAGAAAACTTTACAGCTAATATTTGTGGATTATTATTTTTCAGAACTGGGCCAAGGAAAAAGTTATTGGAACAGACTTCGTTTTTTAGATACTTGTGAATTCATTATGGAACTCTTTTCAAAGTCATTCTTCTGTAAATACTTCTTTCTGCCTGTGCTTGAACTTACACATGACCCAGTGGCAAATGTGAGGTACTGTGCAAAGAGTATGTAGCAGTGTACAGGGAAAAAAATAATATATTAACAAATACGGTTATGGTTTTTTATGTCTTGTTTAAATAATGGGGCTTGAATAAGAAGCCTTCAGCACGACTAGTTCTAAAGGTGTAGAGGACTTATGGGCATGATGTCAAAAAAACACACAAGCAGGTCAGTGTGAGTATTTGGGGACTGATCAAAAGTGTCAGGTATTGGGAGTGAAAAAGAACATGAAACACTGGTAGGTGAGAAGAAAGTAATCTGTTTCATGGGTCTAGGGACACAAGCTGAACCTAGCAGTCTCCATCAATTTCAACATAATACGTAAAGCTAAACAGGAGTAATTCTTTCAATGGTCAAAGTTTAGGAGTTAGCGTAGGTTTCTCCTTGTGAGTAAATATTCTACTTCATTGTTAAAGTTAATTGAAAAAGAAAAGAAAATATAGGGGATTTAGTATGTTACTCGTTTTCATACAGTACTTTTTATTTTATTTTAATAGAGACTTTATATTTTCTTCCCTGAACAGATCAGCCCAGGCAGTTCAGTAGTGATTACCAATAAGAAAGTTGTTACTTTGGTAGTTTGTTTGTTTTTCTCATGCATTTTGTGTGATTTTGAACTTTGTTTGCTGATTTGTATAATCATGTTGTCATCGTTAATATGTCTAAGCATCTAGTACTAATGCTTCAGTAGAGGCTTATGTAAGCATAATTTGCACATACATGTATCTATTCAGTAAAGTTCACTAAATACAGTTTATTTTGAAGTAAAGCAGTGTTTAAATAGACCTTGTGTTTAGTATTAAACTACTACATCTTAGGTCAGCAAGTTGCCAAACCTAAAAACTAAGTCATTTTGTGCATGTAGATTGACATTCATGTTTCATGTTCTTGTGTTAAGGTGATTATGCTAAAAAAAAAAAAAAAACACAAAAAAAAACCCACACACAAAAACAAACAAACAAAAAAAAAAAACACAACAGAACCCACCTTCATTTGTGTATAATCTTATGTGATTTATTGCTTTTTAAACACATTTCAGTTGAAAGCTCTACTGATACACTATTAAAATGTAATGAAACCTTATTGACGTGTTTTTGGCATAATTCTTTGCTGGAATGTTCCCCAACATTTTTTTAAAAGGAACTCACAGTCTGTTGTGGAGTGAAGTTTAAAAGTCAGAACTAGATCTTACCTCTTGATGTCAAAAAAGGGAAAAAATAAAAAAAAATTAGGGAGATGAAATTCCAGCTTTCTACTGAGTGATATAGTCCTTTATAATGGGAAGCTAGGAAGGTTAAAATATTTTTAAAGTATAAAAATATGAAATTCATATAAGAAAAATCTTCAGAATGTTGTTCATCACAATGCTATAATTTCTGACATAGGATTGTCTCTGATCAAGCGAGTGGAATCTGAGAACAACAGAGAATATCACTATATTCTTTATTTTTTAAAAATTCTATTCTTTTAGATTAAAATTATTCACTATTATGTTGTTACAGTCTGACCAAATGCAGAGTTTTCTTTTCTTAAATGTATTAAATACTTTTAATTAATATGTGGAGCATTTTGATTTTAAAGTTAGAAAAAGGAATACATATGTTTTTTATATAACCAATTTAGAAGCTGTATCCAGAGTTTAAGGCCGATAATTGCTTCTGTTCTTAGTACAGAAAAGACACAGTTAAGTTCATCTAAGTGCTTTATGGCATTCAGTTTGCAAGTAGCCAAACTTAAATTGCACAAGGGCACTGTAGTAACAAATAAAAATGCGTCCATGGAGTGTCAGAGCAGAATAGCTGTTAAGTTTGAAGTTTATGTTCTTGAATATTTTTTATGAATAATGTTTCTCCCTTAATTTACTGCCTTTAAAATTGTATCCTCAATCAATTTATCAGCTCACAGCTTCTGCTGGGCATGTAGGTCATTTTGAAAATCTAGAGGTCTGCTTATCTTTTGAGGTTTAAAAAAAAATTAAAATCTTTTGAGCTTCAAATATGTGTCTGTGGTCCCAATCTCTGGAGAATTTTTTTGAAAATGTCACAGTATGGCTGGAGATAACCCATAAGCTGAAATAACTTCTGAATAACTACACTTACTAATTTCATGCTTTATCTTCAAATAATTTATTTTTTTCAAGTCAAATAGCAGCATGCAAGTCAAAAATCAATAATATTTATTAAATTCTGCATCAAAAGATGAATTATCATTCTTATTATTTTTTGACAGAATGAAGCTGTGCTATTTGTTGCCAAAAGTTAAATCTACTCTGAAGATTCCCAGTGATAAACATTTGCTTCAGCAGTTGGAGTTATGTATACGGAAACTTTTGTGTCAAGAGAAAGACAAAGATGTCCTGACTATTGTGAAAAGAGTAAGTGGTATTTCATGTTGGGGTTATTAAAAATTAAGATGATCAAAGTGAGGCTTTCTCTGTTGAGTCTCTTAATATAGGAATAGGAGGCTAAAGACCGATAGCTATTGTGTAATTCTGGATAATTAAGAGATGATGTAATATATTTCATTCTATCAAATTTAAGAGTCGTTTTTTCCTCAGTTACTTATATTGCAGTTATTTTCTAGATAAAGAATTTTGGCTCAATGTTTTTTGCGGAGAAAATAGCATATGTCTCCAGATAACACTAGTGCGAACCTAGTAAAAATGATTGAGTCTTTGAGGTAGAGGTATCTGGCTAATTTATTTATTTGACAATGTAAAAAGAAAACCTATTCAGTAGTTTCAGATGTTACAATACCTTTGGAATGTGAATGTTCACAAAAGGTTAAACTCTTGAGGCATGTTCATGCTCAGTCTCAAAGAAACTGAGAAGTGAAGCCACCTGAAGGAGGTGGCTACCTTACAGGACCAGTCTGCAGAAGGGATTGGATGAGCACCTGCCTAGGGTTCCCTGGCTTGTTCATTTTTTCATTCTTGGTTCCTAGGGCCATGTTACAGCACATCATGCTTCCAAGCTCTCCTCAAGTGTATTTTGAGTTGCATATTAGGTCTATTAGTCCTTCACTGTGAGACTTAGCAGTGCTTTAAGAATACTCTCATGACAGTTTTTGACTTTAAGCATTTGTAGCACAAAAATACAAGCATAGACTTCATGTGTTTAAGGAGAAAAGGCATGTTTAGTTTTGAATACTGCTATTTTAAGCTTTCTTATCTCCACAGTTTTTGAGTTAAAAGTTTGGCTTATTGTTGAGTAAGGATAAATAATATTTTGATTTTTCTTTATAGACAGTGTTAGAATTGGACAGAATGGATATCTCTTTAGATGCTGTAAGTACTTACTAGTTTTCATATTTACCAAGTACTTCTAATTCCCATTTTCATGTAGTGATTTTTTATTTTTATTGATTTTATTTTGAAGTTTCAGAAAAGATTTTACGAAAATGATTTATTGGACCAAGAAAAAGAGAGACAAGAACATCTCCTTTTGGAAATGGTATATTTTATCAGTACAACCTGTCTTTTCTTATTTCTAATAGTTTGTAGCTAAATATGATTGAGACAATAGTTTTATGGTAGGGGAAGTGCATATTACAGAATAACGTGGTAGGTTTATAATCTGTGTATGATTTCATTTTACCCTTTATACTAGGATTAAATCCTTCAAAGTAGCATAAACTATGTAAAATATAACAAGATCTTCCTTTTCTTTGCTACCTAAAGTTTACCGTGTCAATTAGAAAGGCAAGCTGGAATTGCTTAATAAATATGCAAACACAACACCTCTGTAGTTCTAAAGTCCCAAGCACACATTTGAAATTTTTTGAGGGAGCTTTGCAGTTTTTCTGGTGAATGAAACACCTCAGAATTCACGTACAGCCTCCACAAACAAAGAAGTTAATGTTATAACTAACTTCTTTTGTGCTAAGGACACTGAAGGAGAAGTCAGTGTGTTTGTGTTACAGGCTTTCCTGTTAGACAGAAAGAAAGCAAGAGAGGCCATTGACATCTGTAGTCTTGCAGGAGGGAGCCTTAGTGTAGGTTATATGGAACAAAATCAGCTACAAGGTACCTAGGATTTAGAAAAGAAGTCTGCAGAATGATTTTCCAACTAAGAAAAACATTTATGATCTGTCCGTTGTGGCTGTAAGCAAAAGCTGCAGCAGGCACTTCACCACATAGCCTACTACATTTTCACAGAACCTCGGTTAAACGACTTTCAAGGATTGTAGTCCTCCATTCTGTTGCCTCCTCTGCAGACCAGTGTGTGCAAAGGTAGGAAGCTGACAGGCTTTAGAAGAGACCAGGTATTGTTAGTACAGTTTCTCTGACTTCTTGCGATGGAACTCCCCTGAAGCGAACCAGTACAGGTTCAAGACTGTCCAGAAATTTCCCCTGATTCCTCTGCAGGGTAGTTACAGAGCCTGTGTTTGTGGCCCACTTTGATATCAATAGGTACTACAGGCTTTCTCTTGGGAGGTTAATTTTCTCAATTATATGATATCTGTCTCATGTACATCCTGCCACCTCCTATTATCTTGCACCCATGGTTCAACCATTGGTTCTCAGGATGCATATTCATTACGTACACTTGATCTTAGTGCAAAACTTGATCTTAGCTTTAGCGGGTTTTAGGTAGGTACAGTTACTGTTTTTTATAGTGAAAGCATTTGGGGCTATGGCAATATAGCCTTTAGTGAGCCCTGTGTTGTAGTGTTTCATAAGATTTATTTTTACCATGTTTCTTCAGCTGGACATCAGAAGAGTGCCTGTTTTTTATGACATGGATATGGACATGCCTTCTGTATCACAGAGGTCTTTTTGAGCATATACTGAGTGGCATACTTTTGAAGAATCAGAGGTGTACACAGAAAACTGTGGCATGTCACAGTTCTGAATAGATCAGGAGTTATTGGACCCAGTTAGATGTATCTGACTGCTACAGCTTTTAATATCATTTAATAAGTTTATTAAAAAGATTCTTTAATTTTAGAAAATGACTTAGTAGAAACTATATTCCAGAAACCTTGACCTGAATTAATTACCTCTTTTTTTTTTTTTTTAACTTGGGTAGTAATTAGAGTGAAATGGAAGAAAAGTGTAGAATAGTTTGGGTTCACTTAGCACTTTTCATTATGAATATAGCACAGAAAATAAACTAATATATTAGATGGGTTTTTGAAGATGGAGTGATACCTATTCACCAAGAATCATGAGACAAGTGTTGGCTTCAAACTGTTGATATATCTGGCTAACTCTTCTATCTGTGGATGTGCTCTCAGAAGATATTATAAGGCTAGCTAATATTACAGAAAGGCAAAAAACAAAATCCCCAAAATTGAAGAACTGTAATACTTTTATTTTCCATAAAGGCTATCACCTTTAGATGTTAATTTTTGGTCTTTTAAAAGTTTAAGCATATGTGACACACCTTACTGTTAGAGAAAAACATTTTCATTGATGTTTGAATTCATAATGTTCCCAGTTGCAGAGAGTCTTGTACCTTTGCGTCCTTTAGCCACATCTAGTATTTCATGTATGTTCTATTATCAGAGCATGTATGTAGCACCACAGTTTTCCATTGGAAACAGTCAATTTCTATATACTTTGTACCTTTTTTAAAAAAAAGGGGGAGAAAAAAAAGCCTTTGCAGTGATAGTAGGAAAGTGTAGAAATTAACTGTTATTTTGGTGAGTTGGAAGCATGCCCTTTTTTGTAAATGTCCAGCCTAGTTGTAAAATATTTTTTTGTTATTATTACTGTTTTTTTTTTAGCTGAGTAACATCTAAGTAAATTATTAATTTTTTAGGAACAACTTGAAAAAGAGAAGCAGCAAAGTGAAGGAAGATCTACAAATGTTAATGATAAAATATTTGAAAAGAAGCGTAAGTTTATTTGTGTGCATATTGCTTGTACATTTATTACTTTTACTCTTACTTTTACATGGGTAGGATAGAAAGAAGCAGAAAGGAGACACTGCTTATACAGTTAATACCAGAACTTTAGAAAGTGACAGTAAAACTATTTTGTTGTTGTTGTTGTTTTCTGTATGTTTCTAAAGATACTTAGGAAAATTGACTTGATATTAGAAGGAAGGCTTTTGCCTTTATTAATGAAATACACAACTTTAATATGTTTCATTTTAGGTTGTAATATAAGAACTTGTCTGTGGTATTTCCAAAGTATTAGTAGCGCCTGATTAGATATTATTGCCACAGGACTTGTCATATGCTATGCTTTCTTTCTTTAGGTAAGGCTATTAAACAAAGACAAGTAATTTATAGTAGGCTTTTTTTTTTTTTTCAGGTAGAGACAATAAAACGTCATCAGTGTTGGCGAAAAGTATGACTCTTTCTGTTTCTGGGAGCTCTTCTGGTACATCAGCAGGTGAAGATTCTCCAAAAAATTATTCTAGAACGCTTTGGTTTCATATAAGCAGGTTAAAAACCAGCAAAGCTGCTGTTGGTTTTTGTGGGCCAGAGTTTCACTTAGGTAAATAGGAAAATAATCCATTCCTAGAACTGAGTGTAATTTCTATGCTTTTTGGTTTTATTTTATTCTTTGGTATATAATAGGTGACTTCAATTAATTATTGAGGTACTTATATCATTTTTTCAGTTACCATAGGTTTACAGAATATAACATTAAAAGGTGTTCTTAATTACTGAGTAAATGCATGATTTCTATATTAAAAATTGTTGCTACTTGTAATTTTAGGCAAAGAAGACAAGAAATCCAAGTTGGTTCGAAGTCAGTCTTTCAGTACTCAAGCACTACATCCAAAATACAGCAACATAGACAAGTGTCCTAAGTATCTTTTTGTATATTAATTGCTACCTAATAGATAGCTGTAATGAAATTATAGGCATGTTAATCTATAGAAATGGGGATGTGCTCACTGAGTTGTGACCTAAATTTTCAGCTTTTTACTTGGGTAAGGTTGTTTTTTAGTTTTGAACTGAGGGAAGAAATATCATTTTAAGGCATACTGAGGTGTACAAATTCTTGAAAGTTCCTTTTAAGTTCATATATGCCATCTTTTATCACATATAAATTTATTTTTCAATATGAACTGCTTTATCTAAATTCTTTAAAAAAATAGCATATCTTTCTCATTTAATTTATTCATATAAACTCAGAAATTACTTTAAACATTATCAAAGAGTAGGATGGAAAATTATACAATTGAGAAGAATAATAAGCAATTTTGTTTTGTTTTGTTTAAGTAAAAGCACTGCTACAGGATATACATCTTCAATATCAGGAATGGGGAAGAGTTGTATGTTATCCTTTACTGGTAAGTAGGTTATTACTTTATATTTACATTTGGTTTTGTGAGGATGATGAGTTTCTGGGCCCTGTCAAACAGGCATGCTGAAAGATACTGTCTGCCCAAATAACTTAAAACAATAGATATCCATTATGTTTGAACACTTAATAAGTGTTAGTCTAGTTAGTCAATTTTTCTGATTTTTATTTATTTGTATTTTTCTTCATGTTCGTTTAATGTTACAGTTAAAAATAGTAAAAATAAACGTGAATTTGGCATTTCCATCTTACATGAGCAAAGGCATATCGTGTACAAGTTCTACTGAACCGGGTGAGAGAAACCACTGTCTGGAAATGCTTCTCTCTCCATTTGCAGTTGAAGAGTTTGGATTATTAGTTTAGAATGCTTTCCGGAGGAACATGTCTTTTTCCATTCACTACCAGTAGACACTAGATAATTAGCAACCATTCACATACAGAAAGTTAACCTTTTGAAATAGAAAATATCCTGTTATTGCTGTAAGAAAAACGTCTCGTTCTGATCATTCTGTGTATTTTTTTCAGACAAAATTCTTTGTCTAACCTACAGCTTTTTATTCCAGATGATACATTCCGGACTCGTTCCACTGGTAATAGTGGGAATGCTACCTTCCCTTCCAGTTCCTCCCTTACAACTTCTCGCAACTCCTTTAATTCAGCTGACCAAAAGAACAATGGAAATAAAGAGAGTCAGTCCCGAAAGATGAGCATGTAAGTGGTTGACAAGAGGTTAGGCCAAGTTTATTTGTAACATCTTCAAAGGGAACACAAAAGAGCCCTGGAAAATTAAACCTATATTTATGATACTTTTTTTTTTTGACCAGATTTTGAAATACAAAACCAGCAGGATAGAAATGTGGTATGTGCAATTACAAATGCTTTCAAGATTGCTGTACATTCCCTTTTAATTAGTCTTTCTCATTGTTTGCTCTGCACATGTTCGTATTCAGCTGGTGTGATACGGGGAGGGTGGAATGGGACAAAGTGAAGGTTAGTGCATTTGATATATAATAATTATAGTCACTGTGATTAGCTGCCTGTAGTTGGAGAAATAGAATGTACGTGTTTATTTTTTCCTCTTCCTTCTTTTTATGTGTTTGTATATGTTTATGTGTTACTATCCAAAGATTTTTAGAGAATTTTGATGAACTGATAATGCTAGTTGTTAGTAAGGCTGCCTCTTTGCCTTATGGTAATTTTTTCAATTAAAAAAAAAAAAAGCCTCAATCCTAGGCATCTTCCTCAGGCTGTTTTTCTGTAAATGGCAGCCTGAACTGTTCAACGTTTTGAAGGAACAAAATGAAAGATGAATTTCTTTGGTCCTTTGATAAAATTGTAACAATTTTCTTAGAAAATCTCTGTGATGTGTACTTACTTGGTCAAACCTCCGTAGATTCTAGTAGCTAATTCCCTGCAGATTCCTTTTACAGAATAGTTTATAGTTCTGAATTACTGTCATTTGACTAGCTGTAATTTTAGGTGCTCAAACAGCTCTTTGTTTTCCATCAGATATTTGTTTACTGAGCCAAAGCAGGATGGAGAAAGGATAGAAAGCATAGGAGCCAGATACAGCACAAAAGTGAGGTTATTTGGGAAAAATAGACTTGAATGTAAGAGAAATTAAAACTAGTTGAAAAGGATGGGAAAATGCAGGCTGGTACTTGCATTTGAAAGGTAGGAGAGACCAAGGAGAGTACAGAACCTGAGGCTATGACTTGATGGACAAAAATAATAGAGCTGAGATATGGATGCTTGGCCAGATGAGGAAGAAGAGAGACATGACACTAGTTTGCCAGATACAAAGAGGAAACAATAGTGATATCACTCTTTCTAGTGACTTACATAAGCATCTGTACGAACTCATATTTTTCCACTTCAATATTTTCAGATTCCTTCAAAAAAAATCAAGACATTCCCTCCACACTTTACACACGATGAGTTTAAACAATTATTTAATTGTAAAATAAATCACTTAAAAGTTTAACAGATGTCAGAAATGTTCTCTGAACAGCTTGCATTCATCTACTTGTATACATTACATTATGATACAGTCCCTTGCTCTTTCTCAACTGGAATTTTACCACCTTCTTTGTACAAGATAAATTTATTCTGGAACAAAATCAAACTTGCATAGTGACCTATTGTTTCTTAAGCTGCATTTTCTTTGTAGAAAAAGTTGGACAGTGAGTACTGAATGAAAGTGGACACTATATGTTGAGTCAGTGCTTTCACAGCAGAAGTACTTTAAGATGCCAAGTCAAATTTCACTCTGTTCTTGTGCTTGCCAGAGCCTAATGCATTCTCTTAAATACTCCACACAATGCTTACTTTTGATAGGTAGTCATTAAGCGCTCGATTATTTCAAAGTGCCTGATTGCATACTAAACCGTTAGATTAGTAGATTAGCTAATCATTTCCAGCTATCTGTGTAAGTAAATGGGACATATGCCTTGAGCACATAAAATGACATACAGTGCTACCTACTTAGAAAAATTAGGTCTTCAAAAATTTGTGTTCTTTTACACTAATCAATGTATACCTTTGCTCCCTCTCTTTAAAACTAGAATAATAGTTCACACATTGTGACTTTTTAGCAGCCATTGTAGAAATTCCAATTACTCATTCATCTTGCACAGATTTTTGAAAATTTATTAGTATTCACAAAACAGTTTGATACTAAGATTAATTATTTTTTCACACCTTATAAAAAATTTCAAAGTTTTTTGCTATTTGCAAAAAAAAAAAAAAAAGCAATAGCTATTTGCTATTGACTAAATGTATTTTTTTTTCCATAAAACTTCTCTAATGCATATCTGCAAAGGTTCACTTTTGACGAGTCCTTCTGCAATTTTTAGGGGTGAAGAATTTCTGTTTCCATATATTTCACGTATTCGTGCTATTCTAGGACTTGCTAAAATCCAAAGTTACTTTGATGCAGAACTGAGGTGTTGCCATGCTCAAGAGCTCAAATATTTTGTTTGTTCCACTTCAGAGAAGTTGGCACTTATTAAAATATTCCTTTTTTTTTTTTTTTTTTTTTTTTTAAATAATATTGATGCAGGAAAAACAATCTCTGTAAAGCCTGATCTAGTGCTTACAAGCAGACAGTTGGAAAATGACTACTGGATTTAGTGTCATTTGCCAAACCTTATGTAATACTCAGGCAATAGAAAATGCAAGAATTATGCTGAAGATGTATCCATTTACATTAATGGTGGAGCCACAGAAGAGATGAGCACCTTATGAAGTAGGATAGAATCACAAAGAACACTGGTTGAGTATTTCAACCCACAGGAGACCATACTTAAGTCAATTTGCAGAGCAAATGTACTAATCAGACTTCCTGCTGAAGTGATGCTAGTTAGATCATGAATCATCCTAGGGCAGAAATTTACACCATTTGTAAACACTGAGTTGCATAAAGTAGTCCAGTCTTGTATTATTATACTGCACAGATTTATTATTTTCTTGAAAATGTTTTCATTTAGGGATGAAGAAGTGCTCTTTTGCTTGAGTTTATTTAATTTTCAATTTAAAAAGTGTAAGTTAACTTCAAGAATGAGGAGTACAGGCTTTCCATTCTGTAAAAGGTGAGAGTAGATTTACTGATGCAGTGAAATCAATTTGTTATTGATAAATTGATATCAGTATCTTGTAAGATAATCCACAGCTGACCTTTAAGATATCCATAGTAATATGTTGTAACAATTATATGCATAAGTATCTTGAAGTAGTGTCTTTCATCCAGTCATATAATTGCTTTAGGAGGTTGAGCACAAGATTAAATAGTTCTGCTACTTGATATACTACACATTGAGGTGATTACTTAAGGCTTATAATCATGTTTCCCTCCTGCCATGTAAGATGGTACAAGTTCTGAGGTCCAGTGGCATTTGAAGACATTTTGGGTTCCACCTGTGCCATGAAGCTAATAGATAGCCTAAAGGTGGTATATTGTCATGGTAGGTTCCACCAGCAATTTTTAAGAGTGAAGAAGAACAATATCTTGCTTTGTAAATTGTATTATAAAATATTGATGCAAATTATTATTTCCATGGATTTCTGCAAGTGAAGTCCTGCTCCTTCAAAAATTTCTGGCAGTTACAGAAAGTTGTTAGTTGACATAGCTGCAACTTTGTGAAGCTAAATACTGGTATTTTTAAAGATTAAAAAATTAAGGCTATGAAAAATGCAGAAATTGTCCAAACCACATTATGGTCAATAGAAGACCTAGAAATAACACTGTACAGATCTCTAAGCTTCTCTCTCTTTGCTTTCTCCATTTCTATCAGATTTTATCACGGGTAAGGCTGGAAACATTGCATCATTTATAGACATGAGTAGACTGCTTGTACTATCTTAGCCATCTCACTTAAAGAGATCTCTACATTACTGTAGCAATCTTAATGGGGAAATAGTCACTTCCTGTGAAGAATGCCCTCAAAATGTGTCTGTAGGATTTTTCAGTGAGTGCAGTAGAGCAGCTAGTAATTTTTGAAGCACGGCAGCTAACAGTTATTTTAGAATGCTGCACACAGTAGCAGTTTATTATGTTCTTTAATAATATAGCAACAACATATTGTATGTGTTTCTTCTTTTGTATGAAGAAAAAACAGAAAATCAAACCCTTAGATCTTCTGACAGAAAAAGAAGAGAACCGGAGACTGTTGGAAGCAACATTCTTGTGCGATAAATCTGGAGAAGCAGATGGGACTCTATAATGCCTGGAGTGACAAAATGTATCTTGCATTGTTAAAATCTTTTATCTTTTAAATAAAATCCCAAGTTGTAAAATATGTTCCAATAAGTAACGTAATGGTTGCAGAATTCTAATGTTGTAGTGAAATGTTATGAAATATAACTTCAGCTATGTGCTCTTAACTGCTGCAGCTAAAGAGAGGATTTTGATTTCTTCAGTTATGCCTTTGTAGTTCAAGTTCTTGGATCTAGAATGCGTATATCCATTACTTAATTGGGCCTATTTACAATTTTAGCAGTTCTTAGCATCCATATTTTATGCAAGAAATAGAAGTAATTGTTATGAATATGAAAAAGTAATCCCACATTTTAAGGAACTTTCAAAATTTCGAATTTAAGACCAAAATCCAGAACCATTGATCAGTTTTATATAGATAAAACATAAACTTCAGTAGCATTGTGCGTGAATTTGGAGGTAATGTTTTTACAAGTACTAAGTAAAGTTAATAAAAATCCTGTGTAAGTTTCAAAGCAATCTAAAAGCAGATGTCTCCAGATAATACTAAAAAAAAATGTTTTATTTCATAGTTTTTGTTGTATAAATACTTGTTTTAATTTTTAGTATTTCAGATTGTATTTTCACTTGAATAATTTATAATGATGAACCTAGTTTTTAATTAGCTCTTATTGCAAGCAATCATGCTTCAGTGATGTCATCTGCATTTGTTTGTATTAATGCTAATGTTTCTATCAAAATATGTCTGTGGAAAAAACATGCAATTCTATTTTAAAAGAAAATTCTATTTATGCCAATACTTGAGAGAGATTGTATGTATGAAGCTATTGTCAGCTTCTCTATTTCAAAATGGAAGCAGCATAACTATATTGATAGCAGAAATAACTGTTTTTTAAAATCTGTTGGTATATGATAAAGACGATCTGATTTGTGAATGCATATGCGTGTGTGGTTACTTTTTATAATGTAAAAATATGAATGATGAATTTACTCAAAATAAAACCTAGGACAATGCTGTACATGCATGTTCCTGAAATAAATATTTTTTTCTCAGGGCATCTTTTATAATTAAATAAAAGCATTTACCTACAGAAGGTATTTATTTTAAATAACAATAATGCTAGATTTATGCTGTCTTGTGTGGAGTACAAAATGTGTCTTTGACTTTAGCAGTGTTTCACTGTCTGAATACTTAAGCTTCTTGCTCTGCTGCTGGATTTAGGTGCTCTGTCCCTAGTCATAAACATTGTTTAGATTCTGTGAAAACTTCCAAGTTTTCAGTTTGTTCTGCAGCCTGGTATAGGATCTTGTAAATCACAGATTTCTTTAAAAGCTACTTCTAGTATTGTGATATTTCTGACATGCAGTATTGATGCAGATATACAGACTTCCCATGCTGGCTCCTCCCGGTTTGGCTTTTGTTCCACTCTCACTACCCCAGGGACAACAGACTCAACATACCAGGAACAGCTGCTCAGCCGTGGGCCAGAAGAAGCTGCTCAATCTGTTCTCGGTCCGACTTCTGCCAGGGACCAAATCAAGTCAGCAGTGCCCAGCTGCAGAACAGGACTCATAACTGTGTTTGACCCTCAAATGCCTTTATTAGAACGATGTACAACAGCTAGTAAGTTCAGAAACTTGAACCCAAGCTCTTTCTCCCCTTTATAAGCATGTAATGTGTTCTGTATACAGTCTGTCATTTGTTTGTTCTTCGTTGTCATTTGTCCATCACTTTTTAACTGGTTAATTTATTTAATGCTGGTAACACGTGTTCCACTCAATAACCCTACCACGTATTAAATTCCTGCTATGTAATCTTTAAGTGCTATATTTAGACATCCTTGTACATCTTTTGTCTGTACATCTTCTTGTACACCAGGTGCACATACACATGGTGTTTCGTGTATACTTTAATCAGTCCTTTGCACTACAGACCTCCATCCAGGTTGGACAGCACCAATACTTCTGAATCTCCTGCAGGTTTTGCAGGTTTTTTTTTTTGTTTGTTTGTTTTGTTTTGTTTTTTTAATCTGCAATTCAGAACAACAGCTGGAGGTCAACGGTACAACAATAATTGTGTGATTCTCTCTAGTAGCATTCCTCCTATTAATCATTCTGAGGCAGGAAGGAGTGATTCCTCTTCTTTCTGGGTGCATTCATGCTGTAATGTGAAGTTAAGTTAGGTGTACTTTATCAGTCTAGTCAGGTACCAGTCTGCCTGATAATTCCTTTTGTGAGGGGCTTATACCAGTGTCTGGGTTGCTGTAAATAGACAACTGATAGTAACTGAGGTTTTTATTTTTAGAGCTGTTTACCAGCTTTACCCTGAAGTCTTATCTTTCGTTCCTTCCCTGGGTCCTGTGAAAATACTTCTCGTGTGGATACATCTGGAGGCCAATAGATACCTTTGAAGTTTCTCTGCCAAATGATTCTGAAAACTCTTCTGCCCCCTTTTGGGCAGATGTTTTCTGAAATATGTAAGAAAACAGAGGAATGCTTAGGTCTTTTGGTTACATATAGTGAGAAGTAGCTTCTTGCATTGTTTCAAACCTATATATGGACTGTGTTAATTAAAATTTTCTAAATGTTATAAAGATCTTCCTACTTTGTCATTAAATGTTCTGTTGGGATCACTACTTCTATTTGATGGAAATAGTCTTTGAAATAGTCTTCAGGAATATTTTGGAAACACCTTTTGCATTTTAGGATCAACCCTGTGAAATTTATTCCAATTGGGGGAAGATATTTTTACCCTACTGAAGTCTGTCTTAGTATAGGCATAGAGTCCTTTGACCTCGTTCTCTCTGAAACCTAGATGATAATACAGACAAAAAATATGTTTTTAGGAGAGGTACAGTTTGGTGTTATGAGGAAGTACAGACTTAGATTTTCCCAGTAAGAATATCTGAATTATTTTTCAGAATTACTTTATCTTTAGTAGAAAGAAGGTTTTAGCAGCAGGCACATCATGTACCCTGAGGAAATGAGGTGATCTAGTACTCCAAATAAACACTTCGAAAGAGGTCACCCTCCTGGATGATGCAGACTTGATGATAGACAATTTCTACAGACCTAAAGATCTCTAGACAGAGGGTGTAAATTCTCTTTTAGGGTTTGATCCTGCTTCTGTTATTGTAAGTGGCAGAAGTCTGTTAACACTGATGTCAGTAGGCTCTAAAGTCTCTCTGCAACAGAAAATAGCATTGAGGACTATTAAGCTGCAGTGTCTGAGAGTGAGCTTCCTAATTACTCTGATGTATGAATCTCTGGTTTTTGTTCAGAATTATCCCTAAAATGTTGAATTTTGAAAGTTCAGTTCCGTGATCATTATTTTACTTTTTTTTTTGAATTTGCATGGTAGGTTTTACAATAAAACCATTTTTTGTCATTTTGTGCCCTATTGAAGTAAACTCATCACTGGCATTAAAGAAATATTGCTACAATGACCTACTGCTGGCTGGAGAGAGAAAACAGGCTTTCATGTTTTCAAACTGTGCTTTTTATTCTAATGTACATTAATAGTTTAAAGAAAATAAAAAATAAAGCCTCTTACATACCACAATAAAAACTGTTACCTTTATTCACATTTCTGTTGGATCAACCACCCTACCAATGAAAAGTAAAGTTTTAAAAGTTTCTTCAAAAATCATGAACAGAAATGGTCGGTCGACTTTAATGACAGGAGGCGCTGAGAATGCAATTATTTCTGACCCTGTAGCTGCCGTGGCCTCAGTTCCGTTTTCATCCACTTCAATTACAGCCTTTTGGACAACCTGAAATGCAATGTAGAGATAAAATCGGCGACAGAAATGTATGTGAACAAGAAGAATGAAATTCAATGTGGCAGAAATTCAGTTGAAGTAGGCCTATATTAAGGACTGCAATGAGTAGGTCTGTGCAATCTAGCACTGTCTGTTACTGGTAGACCATATGTTGTCTCCCGCCAAAGTGGAGGAGTTGCCACAGCCACCATGACCACAATAGCTAAGGTGCAGATGTGCTAGCTCAGGTATCATTATGCTTTTCTATGTTCCCGAGTGTCAGACTCGCTTAGAGATTTTGTTTCTGCAGCTGGTGGCATGCAGCCACCAGTGCATTTGTACAGTGTTCCTCTTTGACACCAAACTGTACAGGAGGCATTTTCTCATAAGTGGGAGGTGTGATTTCACTGGTCACAGACACTTAATGGCTGGCTGTCATTCCCAGTTGATTTTGTGAGAACTTAGGCAAATGTACCAGTCTTATTTTTTAGGCAAATGCACCAGTCTTATTTTTTTCCCTGTATGTTTCTATTTCTTACATTTGGTAGCACAGGGTAAACATGGATAGCAATGGGCTACAGTCCTTCACAGGTCGAAGGGCTTCCTTTCCCACTGAAATCACAGCCTGACAGACTCTGTTTCTCTTTCCTTTTTTGTTCTTTCAGCCTCAAGCACTACTTCTTCTGCATTTGGGTCTGTATTGCTGAGCTGCCTGGTCAGCTGGTGCATTCCTAACTCTCAGACTCCTAGCTCTAGGAATGACTTCTGTCAGGACAGTTGAAAGATTTCCCAAGTGCCAAGCTCTCTGCTAAATAACCTAAAGTAATAAAGTTGGCCATCACAACTCAAAAGGATGGCCAAAAACATCCCACAAAAGGATGGGATGCTCCTTTTTACAGCATCTGCAGCGGTCTATTTCATGTGGTTTGGAATACAGCTGTGTTGTGATGATGCTTTACTGTGAGATTCTGATTCCTCCCTGCCAAAGTGGGCAGAAGTGAAGGCAGGATTGCTTTGACTTCTCTATCTTGCTTTTACCTTTTTTGATATTTATTTATTTATTTATTTATTTATTTATTTATTTGGGGGGGGGGGAGGCTGGGGGAGAAGGTTTTGATGTCCTTGTTAAGAAAAATACTTATCCCTGGACTGTGTATGAGGGTTTCCCTCTTTGGGTTTCCTTCCTTACTCTGCTATTTAACTGTAATTCACAATGTCTTTCTTGTTTACAATTTTTGTTTAATTGTAACCCCCACCCTTCCCAGGCTATATTCTTTCTGAGACAGGGCTTTTCTCCCATAATGGGCAAACTTAGGTGTTTGAGCACATGTGAAAATTGACCGCCCCTTACTTCTACACACCTCAGACTCACAGTGAGATCCATGCTGTTTAAGGCATGAAGTTTCCATATACTTGGCAGATGAGGTCCTATCCTACTAGTGTGCCTAGAAGTCTGTATGACCCTTAGCAAATAAATTTACAAGACTTACCTGTGAAACTGTTACATATTCTTGGTCTGTGAGATGACTAAGATCTGCTGTGCGTGAAAATATATTTTTAATTCCAAGAGCATAAAGCAATTTCTTCATTTTGTATTTTTGTTCTAGTTTGAACTTTGGAAATGAAATATCCATTTTCCTTTAAAATAAATAAATAAATACATCAATGCAAACTTGAGATATATGGTAGGTCACTTGAATGCTGAAATGCTTACTTCTTGGGAATTAAGATTCACACAGACAGTAAAACAAGAGGCAAAGGCTACAGGGTCTGCTTGAATTTAGGCTGCCAGGACATCATCTGCTTTGTTGCATGCCAAAGAACCTGGAAATAATTTCCTACTCAGAATAAAAGACTTCCATGAATACTTCTAGAGACCCTGCTACCAGGGCGACACATTCACTTACAGACCAGTGGAAGTGACTGTGACTCCAGGAATCACGTTTCACGGGAATAATTTGTTTTTACATTTTCATATTCAAATGTATCCATTAGTCTGGATCTCCACTGGTAGGAAAGGTTTCCTAACTATACATATATATTTCTTTCATATATATACATATATATATACAATATATATACATACATTTCATAAACACAAATATATGGATATATTAAATTTGGCTAAATTTAAAGAGAGAAGTCCTAATGAGGAATTTGGGCAGACCAGGTTGACTATGCCGTCAGAGAGAGACATCTCTAACCAAGATGAGCCATAGACTCATCACCTTGGAACAGAAGCTTTCTCATGTTGCTTGCCCATAGATGCCACTGCACTCTGGGATGTGGGTAGGCTATTAAAGGGTGTCTACTCAGTAGATACAGTGACACCAGCATGTTAGAGGGGTCAGGAAGACAAGCTACTTTGTTTTGCCTTGTTGCTTTGCTATAAAAGACATTAGGGCCAAGAGATGTCACAGCAGTACCTGCTCTTCATGTTTGCAAGCCAGGATTCCACAAGGTCTGTTGTCAAATGGTCTTCGAGTGAAATGTAATCTCCCTCCTTTTCTGGGATGACAACCAGCATGTAGGCTTTGCCTTTGTAGGGAAGTTTTAACACATTGCATCTTAAATTCTCATCAAAGGTTGAATTAACTTTATCTGACTTGAACATCATGGGTACCTGTACACTTCTGTATTTGTTTATGTGGAAGGTTTCCATTTCTGTGAATTTGGAATTAAATGGATAGAGCCACTTGCCTGAGGAAAGAAAGCAACAAAATAGTTATGTGTATTATATATATATACATATGAAATCATTTTTGTAGCTAGTTGAAGTGGGTGTCAGTTGTGTCCGGGATAAGTAGATGACAACTGCAGTATACTCAGTGTGTGTGCTTTAAATGTTTGTTACGGCAGGAGAAGGAAATAATGCACAAAATAAACTGCTTCATTCACAGAGAAAAGAGGGAATATTTTTCTAAGGTGGATTAGTTGTCAGTCAAGTTCAGAACTGATACCCCTTTTGTTTATTGCATGCCATATGAGCATCTGTCTTTTATTAACATCCCACCTTCTCTGAAAATTTCTACCAGCTGTTCAACATCCTGTTTTTAAAGTAATTATACAATCCCTTGGATGGGGATTCAGCAGTGCGTTGTCTGGTAAGGTGCACTGGAATGTGACCTCTCCTAGGCTATTGATTCTGATTTCTACACTTGCTTTCAATCTTAGCCACAGCCATTTATCTCTTTTCTCTGGTTTTCTGCAAGGGAAAGTAACCTTGGTATTGGACAAACTGCATTTTTGTAAACCTAAAAGAATAAACGTAGTCTGTGGAAAGACTGTATGGCTGTGGCATAATTTTCTTTGTTCTCATGGGTGCATTTATTTTAGTGGAGTTTCTGTGGATGGCATCTGCTGAGTGCCTTGGGCTGCAGTGGCTGTGAGTATGGGGTCTCTGCAGAGCATTCTCCTCTTCCCCTTTGCCATCCTAGCTCTTCAGCTTGGATTTTACCTAACCGGGTTTCTCCAACTTCTATATGGCTGTGTCAGAGTGAAGTGTGGGCTGTGCTCCCTGTCACTGTCAGGTTCTCCTTTGCCTTATCACTTTGCTTCCTCTCAGGGGAAAAGGTTCTTGTATGAAATAGAAAAACATGTTTTATTGTCTTTATTTTGTGTACTTTAGACAATCAGCCAATGATTTCACACCCAGTATCAGGTATTCAAAAAACTATCATGATTAAGGTTTTCTCATATCAAGAGCTGAAAGAAAAACTAAACTTCTTTAGTCACAAACAGGGATTGTTCAAAGATTGAAATAGGGCTTTTTGTTCTCTTTGGCTCCTTGTTGCATGGAAGAAAGAATTAAAAAATGTGTTTCCCTATCATGAAAAATAATTTTGTTTTGAATAAGTCTATTAGAACATAGTAAATCTATGTAGAGAAAACAGGACAAGCGAATTCATTTAACCTTCCCCTGATGTAGATGAAGTCAAAGTCTTGTTTCTTCTAATAAATAACAATTTTGTAAAATAAAAACAATAGTTACCTTTAAACAAAATGTAGTCCACAAGTAACAGCTTATTATGGCGGTCGAGCTCTTCAAAAATCTCTGGGATTTTTCCTTTGGTCCTTTGGTTAATATTTTGATTTATAATAGATTTTGCCTGTGTGCTGTTCTGAAAGTCCACATGCAGGAATTCCATATCAAAGTACTGCTTCGATAAATTGAGGAAATCCTCCCTGATTATGAAGTCCTTTTGGATAAAGGAAAGAATACCTTGCTCAAAGAGAAGCTCTTCATTCATTGTGATGTTATCTTTCAGTTGTTTGAACAAAGATGGTAAATAATGTCGATCTCTGTCCTTCAAAGCGTGAAGGTTCAGACCTTTTACTATTTGTCTGTGTGTTTCCCCTTTGGCTGCCAGCATATATGTAGCCATGAGAGTTGATACAGAAAGGGGAGAAATTATGACATTGTTGTCATGTGTCATTGCAATTTTTCTGTAGAGATTGAATCCAAAATTTGCTGTCTTTTCAGTGAAGTTGTAAAGAGTGAACTCTTCAAGATCTTGCTCTTCAAAAGGTTTAGAGAAATTTTTATGCTGATGCCATTCTTCAGAAATATTGTCATTTTTATTTCTTCCTAGGAAATTATGCTTTTTTTCCTTCTTTGGAGTTTTAGGTTTGATGTCAGCCTTGCTGATTTCAAGACATATTTCACATAAAAGGAGTAGATAAATTCCTATTTTCATGTTGGCATCCAGTAATGAGCTTTATTTATTTATTTATTTATTTATTTTTCCTAGTAAAGAAAAAGGGAAAAAAAGAAAGCAAAACAATGAATTTTTGGTTTGTTATTTGATTCACAACACGAAAAGTCATGGATGTAGCAAGGATCTTTCTGCATCTTCAGTGTATACACTCTAAATTTAAGGCTTGGTTCCTATCTGAAGAGTCAAATTTCAATCAATGAAAGAGAGAAGTTTCCAAATTTAGTAACAGAATCCAAAAGAAATGCTATGATCTGCTATTGACAGTTCATTCCAGAAATATTTCACTGATTTTCCCTTGCTAATTCAATCAAACCCAGATTTCAAGTGAGACATCCAGCTCAAAGAGGAAAAATCAACCTGTTGGAACAGTGTGGCAGCTTTTGTTCACGTGAAACTGATGCCAACCATAAGCACAAGCTCTCTAGGCAGCACACGTTGGAAGTGATATTTTCTCTGGACAGCTCTGGCACAGACTAATCCCGGATGGGGATCGGCTGAGGAGATGAGACACCTGCTATTCATGGGCACTGGCAGGTGGGTTGCAGTCTCCATGTTATGGGGCTTAATCACAGTTGCCATTCTTATGGGATCCATCTGTCAGTGGTGGCCTGACAGTCATGGTCCCCTCTGTAGGGATGTTGACACTTCATATTTGTTACCTTACCTGTTTTACGTCAGAGGCATGTTGTATCAACAAGATACACTTAGGAGAAAAATAAGCATCAGAGAAGCACAAACACTGTCTGTTTTGATAAATGCCAGAAAACAACCTGGTTTGGGGAGTTAGAGAACATTCCATTAAAAATTCCTTTTAAAACAGACACTCAAATAAATACCTGTATGTTAGACCCAAAAGTCAAATTACAGGTTTTGTTCCATAAATGGTGGAATCCAAGAGCCAAGCAGAAAAATATTTAAGTATATAAATACTTACTAAATATTTCAGAAATGACTTGGAGAATGCTGGAGTTCTGCTGTACAATTTACTTTTGCAAACTTGAAAAAAACGAGTTTTGCTGTGTAACGTATGCCTAGTTTTCCCAAGAGAAATTTTAAGAAGGATACATTTACTTAAGGAGAAAGTGAAAATCAGACAAAACCAGTCTGTCCTTGAAAGAAAAGGTATTAAGCCAAGCTCATCATAATAAATCAGGATTAAATCCACTGACATACAGATTGCACAAAGCTGGTCCAAGACAAGAAAGAATCTGTGTCTATGGGACTTTTACCCTTTCATTCATCTAACCATGTTTAAAAAACAAACAGTCTTGAAATATGTAGCCGTGGTTTAACAGGGAACTAGACAGCAATGACACTTAGTCAAGATGAGATATCTTTCACATACGTGAAGGAAAATAAAGAGTTTAATGATAAGATGGCAACAGCAGCTCTTAGTCAAGAAAAAACATAATTTTGGGGATATTATTATTGGGAAAGATGGTTGTGCTCAAAAAAATAAAATGTTGAAAAAATGAGACATTGCAGGTTTTAATGGTATCTGTAATCATACAATCATAACTCTTGCCTGGTCAACTCTTTTTGGAGAGCTGGACTTCAGCTCCTCTCATGACAAGAATAAAAGAGTTTTTATCTATTTCACTTTTAGTATCCGTAAAGCATCTGGAGCTTAGTGTACAATCAATAGGGGAAGTATTTCTGTAAATGTGCAGGAGAGTACTAATGTGGCCCTGGAGAAACAGGGAAGATTTGGGCATAGGAAATTTTTGTCAGTGAACCTGATCAGCATTCCACTGCCAAAAGCAACATCAGAAAGAAGGTCAAAGTTCTGTGAAAGCCCAGATAAATATTGTTAAGACATATGAGATTTTCTATGCCACGTACAGAGCAGCACTCAAGGAAACATTGCGGCTACTGTGTTTGAGTCCCTAGTGATAACATCCTGGTATGCGGCTCTATCAAGAGGGCCAACAAGAGAACAGGTTGTAGTTCTAACCTCAGTAGCATGTAGAGCAAAGTGCTGAAGCTGCTAATGTACTCCTGTTGGCAGCCTGCTGTGCAGTTTTTTTCTAGTTTCTTCTAGTAAGTCAACATGAAACTTCATGTTACTGCCTATACTTACCAAACCCTGAAAAGATTATGAGGCTCAGGACTGAAAATACAGTCATTATGAGGAATACTTGCACTTCATAACTTTATTTCACTTTTCGTTCTTCTGATACAGGTTGATCTGATGTCCATTCAGATCACTCCTGATCACTTGTCATGAGATTCCCTGTACTTTTACACTTCATTGTCCAGCAAATGCTGGAGTAGGTTTGTCTGAAAATACCATGTTTCAATGCCAAATAGCATGAAGATGAAACAGTTGCTCTGTGATTACAAATAGTGTTTTACACAAGTTATGATTTCTGAGCAAAATTAATACAAGGTCTCTCATCTGTCAAACAATATGTTTGGAGAGAACTGGACATATTTTCCAGAAAGACTCAAGGCAAACTTTGTTATCAAACTTTAGCATCATTTACACATTGCTTGTGTAAAGTGGCACATGCAAATGCAATTTGCAAGCATAAAATGCAAATATGCTCATCATTCATCTTTCCATCAAAGCAATATACAAACTCTTCTCCCATAAAGCAGTGTTGAATTGCACCTTATGGAAAAATGTTGAATGGCTAAAATCTTTGGAGCTTCATTTTCCCATTACAAATTAAACAAGATGTTCAAGACCGCTATGAAGCCTGCACAGAATCCTTTTGTGTTGCAGTGGCATGTTAATAGATAAAAGAGATGAAAAGATGGATTGTATGGCCATTAAAGTAGTAAGTGATTCAACAATCTAGAAAACACATGGCAACTATTAACTACTCCTTTTTAGTTAAGGATCTATAACAGCAAATTACAGTCATTGTACAATTTGTGATTTGGCATATGGGAAAGCTGGTTTTATTTGATTGCCATTTATTTAGAGTTCAACTGAATTTCACAGTTGCCTGATTCAGGCTGTGGGAGTTAGTCTTGAAAAGGTATGTTGATGTGAGTACTGAGACATTTGGGTGCCAAGTCACAGGGTGCTTTTGGCAGTCAGGTGGTGTGCTATTTTCTTTTGAGATAATAGGTCACGTTCTGTACTTGGTGAAACACAGATGGGCTGTAATGACTTAATCGGGAGGCAGTGAGATCCCTGAATATTGTGCCTCCTCTCGAGTGCATGAGAGCCAGGGAACATAGTAAAATATGTAGCTTACTGCATATGTGAATATTTTTTTTCTTTCTTTTTCTTTCCTGTTAACTCTTGCTTTATCTACAGTGAGATTCCTACTGCCTTTACTGGCTGCAGAAGCAGCTAGTGCAAATCTTCATGCTCATTTAGTCTGCATTTGATGTAATCCCCAAATCTCACATGAAAACTCGTCTCTCAGTTCTACGTGCTGGCCCTCAGCTAAGATAATGTGCAGCCCTTCCTGGCACCCAGGAGGTCTGGATTCTGCACAATCCCAGCAGGGAAGGGACTGCCTTGAATTCAAATCCTGCCTTACCAAGTAGAGCACCAGCTGCTTCTGTGGGGTTGGGACACTTGCTCTCCCTGATGGCCCATAAATAAAAGAGATCTTACAGCAACTGCAAAGCACCTCTGCCCCTTATGTAGTGAGCCCCTTCTGTGGGAAGGAAGATAGGCACAGGATATGTTCCTGCCCCAGAGCTATGCCTGCACTGCCAGCAGAGCAGGACCTCTTCTGGATCTGATCATGTTTGGGGCTGTTTTTCCCCAAGGAATCATCCCTTCTTCAAAGAGAGGTAATTAGACACCACAGGGTCAGGCTTAGCACAGAGACAGGGACTGGAAAGCATCACTTCTGATAACCTGTCACAGAGAAAGGGCTTTCTGCAACAGCAGCAGTTCCCCTAAAAGAGCACCAGGCCTAACAGCTCACTAGAGGTTGCAGAGAACCATCTCTTTCCATCTTCTCTGGGGATAGCACTGTTGCTGTGTAAGAGTGCTGTGCTTGACAGGTGTCACTGCTGTGTCTCATTCGGAACAGGCTGGTTGGTGCTTGGCTTGGGAGGGCCAACAAATCGCCCCAGGACTGAAAGGGGAATGCCATGAGCTGCCTTCCAGGTGGCTCTGCTGCCCTAGCACAAACAGATTTCAGATTGAAAGGAATAGGCAAACGCAGAAGCCCTTGTTTACCGGTGTGTCCCAGACCAATTCATCACTCAAGAAAAGAGTCCTGCTTCCTCAGGCGTACAGAAATGCTACTGGTTCAGGTGTTACGAACATCACAGGAGTAAGAACCTCAAAATTTCACTAAACAGTAACTAAAAGACTGAGATTGCAGCACTTTAAAACACACATTACATCAGCTTTGTCATTCACCTTTGACAGCAGTTAGAAACACATCATGTCCTCTAGGACGGGGAAAAACATTTCTGGCAACAATAAAGTGGTATTTTTGCACATTATAGGCTTGCAGTTTTTTACTTCTAGAGTGAAGCTTATTACTAATTTTGAGAACTTTTACAGAAAGAATAGGTAGTTCCTTAATAAACATATGTGACAGAGAAAAGTTAGTGGTTTTTTTTTTTTTTTTTTTTTTCCATTTTAAGAAAAAATGTTTTCTAGTAGTCTCAAATATAAAAGAAGTTTCTGGTTCAAGTGGGTTTTTCTTCTGAAGACATTATAGCAAGAGAAAAAGCAAATATTTTAGAATATTGATTAAGATCCACAACCATTTAAAACATCACATCTTAGAGAACAACTGACAAATATAATATGTGAATAACATTAATATACATAATAAACTAATCCTCCTCTTTACAATCCAAATGCTTCATATAAAGACTGACTTACCTATTAGGTAGCTCCTCTGTTACTTAATCAACTACGTTTAAAAAACAGATGAAGGTGGCTGTCCCATATAGAAGTTTTTCAACAAATATTTGCTCTTCCGAAGAGTGATAACCTGGTTTTGTCTGTTATAGATTAACTGCTTGATAAACACTGGGTGTTGTGTTTCCCATAAATGGCATAATGAGGGATGGTTATATTCCAGTAAATACATTATATATTTAATGAGAAACAAGGGAACTGTAAACTCTCTGCATCCAGCCCTTCAGTAGCCCAACAGGATTTGGTCCCATACATCCAATTGCCCATGAGAATTATTTTACTAAGCTTGTTAGTGGCAGGAGCAGTATCCAATCCTGTTGCCGTTTTGTAAAAGAGGTCAATATTCACTGAGGCAGGGGAAACAAATGGGAGGGAGGGAGCAGATGCAGATCATTTGTATGGGTGTTGCCAGCTCCCCAGCCCTGCAATGAGGCCTTTGCTTTCAGAGAAATCAGGGCCTTTTCATTTCCCTTTTCAAGAGTGTACCATCTATTCAGTAAAGTAGCAGTATGCCAGAATTAACCAACTGATAGGCACCAAGTGGTGCTTCTCCTAAAAATGACCAAATGTGGGAAGCGGGTACTCCTGCAGAAGTTGTGCAGAGCTATAAGGACAAACTGCTTGAACTTTCAGTTCATCTTGCTTGGACAGATTTGACAGGTTGTTCTTGGGTCTTGAGTACTGTAAGTCTGGCAAGGCACATACTTTAAGACAGAGTGTTTACTCAGCAATTGCTGTAGTGTGGGCATGATCTAAACTCTTCACTATTTTGATCATTGGCTTAATTCCAAATAAAATGTAAACATGGAATTCCTTCTCTCCCCCTCATGCTCCTAAATTACATTTAAAATACTCCCAAATGAAACAGAACATTTCATTCTGGTTTGGATTTTAAAGAAAAAAAATTGGCCTTAAAACTAGAGATGACAGAACTGGTCTCTATTTGTCAACTGAACTGAAAAAAAAAAAAAAAAAAAGACCATTTGCAGTCTAAGTGGGAGCTTAGTCAGAGGAAAGCCCATAAAGGGGCTGGGCATCCAGGACTCAATGCAAAAAGGCTGATGTGTGTTGCTGACAAGCATTACTTCTCTAAAAGTGACAACAGCATTAGTGTACAAAGTGCAAGACTGACCGAGGAAGTGCTTAATACCTGAATGTGGCCCTCCCTGGTGTGACCATTTTGTGTCCACTTCGCAAGGATGCACTGCTGTGGGGCACTTCCAGGTTTTATGTGCTTAATATGTTCAACAGAGCCATGAATGGTCACTGGCTCTAGGTGTCCAGACTACTCCTTAGTTTAAGTTCTTCTAAAATATTATTCCTTTTTAAAATATCCTTCCTCTCTATTAGTAAGCCCCAAGTATAGGCGTTTTATTAAAGAATGCACAAATGTAAGACTGAGCTACAGAGTTAACATCACATGGCTTGTTCCTTGACATGGAACAGGGAACACCAAAATGTCCACAGTGACAACGCAACTTCAGTTCTCTGATGGTTGGACTTATTTTTTTCTACTTTCTGGTCTATATTTATTTGTGGTTAATTCAGTTGGACTTGAAATTCAAATTTCTTCTCACTGCAAAGAGGAAATTTGCATCAGATATGGTTGAAGAAAACTGCATTTCTGTAATGTGGGTCTGAATCTCTGTGTGTTCTGTTGTACTGTGGTCTTGGCCCAATAACACAATACAAGGAAAACATAGTATGTACAAAGTAATACCCAGCTTTTGTACTCAGCAAAATTAAGATTGTTATTAGCAATGATGATAGAAACAGAGCCAACAGAGCCTCTTCCTAGTCTTTGCTCCAGGCCCCTGGCATGCACAGTCACCACTGGAAGCCTTGGTTGAGTTAAGACATAGCACTAGTGATATCTGATATTCAACAGCTGAAGTCTTGTGTATACAAGGTGATGAAAAGAAGGGTTTGAAGAGATCTTAAAGTCTTCAGATCTCTCAGTTAAATATTTTCTGGAGCACATAAAACACATAAATGTTATTTAGGCTATTATGAGATGTACTGACTGTGCACAGAGCTCAGAGGGAGCTATCTTCCTCTCTAGTTACTCATGAAGCCCCTGGTAGTTTTCATGCTGGGTAACACCTTGCTGAGAGTATCCTCCACACATGACCGGGAGTAGCACATTCCTCCCACCAAATACTATTTATATTGTCAGTCACCCCTTGAATTCAGCAGAATTTTTTGAGCGGTAAACCAGCACACAGCATATGGGTAGTACCCAAACTATATGTACTTAAAGAGTCATTTTCTGCGAGAGGATTGCCAGCGTGTCACACTGGAAAAATTGCACTTTTCTGCAGCTAATGGCAAAACCACCCCTGGGACCAAACCCAGCAAGAGCAGCCTATATGTGTTGCCACCCAGATGCATCTCTGCTAGGAACTTTGAGCACAGCATTGCCACAGTGCTGAGGATGGGCAATGTATAACTGCAAAGTTATCAGTGGAGCTGAAGACTGTCTCTCCTCTGATAGACAAGTTTTTTTGGAGGCATATAAAATTCTGCCAAACCTGTCAATGATATGTAGACCAGGTTCTCATCAAGTTCTTTGTCAAATATCCTGCAGATCTTGGCTACCTGCAGGTAAATATGGCACAAACAAGCTCCCCTGCTTGTTCCAAATACTGTTTAAAGTCCATTTCATCCTTTTGCAGTTATTCTTGAGGGGCTGGCAACTCCTCTGCTTCAGTAGCTGCTTTTCCTTGACCCCAAATTATGTTACTTTTCTCAGTCTGGTTTAGGAGACACAGACACAGTGAAGAAATCAGTCATCTTAGTTATCAATCAGTGTTATCTTAGTATTTGTTTTGCTTTGGGCTTATGTTCCCTGTGCTAACTATGGTTCCAATTACAAGCTCCTTGGTATAGCATTCGTGTTTCCTTTAATAATGCCACTGTTTCACATGCCATGTCCCATTTCAGCAATGGTCTGTAACCTGACCACAGCTAAGCCTCCCATGCCTATATGATGGGCATAATCACAGTACAGAGAGATCAGGTTCCAGAGAGGAAGCTGGTGGTTTAATTAAGTGTATCACTACCAGGGTCCCAGTAAAAGATTTTTGGACTTGTGTTTCTTGCCTTTTTTTAACAAGGTTGTTTCCTGCTAGTAACCAGATAGATACATTTCACTGTGAAATTTCCAGCTAGTTGTTACCCATTTGGTTTCTTAAGGGTAGACACAGAGTGTCTTGATGGAGCTAGTTGTGGTCAGTCAGAAATTCTGTACAGGCTCGTGTTTGATGAGAAGAATTAAGGTAAAAACTGTTAATTTAGGCAAGTATTTGGGACTGGGTATTAGTTAAATGTGATCTAACCTCTTCCATTCTTCCCAAACTAAACAAATACCAGCACACTAAGAGTAGTGCAGGAGAGACATAGTGATGATTTTCAAGGATCTTTATTATTTATTCTGAAGTGTCACAGTGAGATTACTCATTACACATAAACTAACATGCTCTAACAGTTATAAAACAGTTCTTTATACAGTCTCTTGAGCACAGTTTGTCAACTAGATGATTCATCAAGGTGGCTGATGCTTCTCCCACTCAGAGTGTGCATTATAATTGAAATCAGCTGGATGTAAACACCCTGATGGCTCCATACCTCATCTGCTTATAAGCCTAACCATAGAGAACTAGGCTCATGCAATTGTTCATATGGGGTGACAGTGACAGCATCTCTGAGAGGCACATATTCCTGTATCACACATGGGGTGGGTTGTCTGTGTTACAATGTTTAGTAGTACTGAATGGACAAAGCAGTAAAACTGCAGGATTTTATAATATAGAGCTAAAGCATCACCATTCTGTTTTCAAATTCACAGTCAAATGTAGTCTAATTGTCCCTGAGCACAGAAATAAAAATGTAATTTCTTGTTAGTAGGACGTCTTACTGTGGGAGTTTTCATAATGAATATGAAAATGGTGAAGTAAGGAAATGGTGTGTCTAGAGAAGTACTATCAGTTTTCAATAGCAGGTAAAACAACCACTAGCTGTGATGGAAGTAGCCTGAATCCTGCTTTGCCCCAGAGAATGGAGTAAATTACCTTTAAAACCACTCCCAGCTTTATTTCTTGTGATTCTCTGACTCACAACAAAGGAACATTTTTATTCTGAATAAAATATTTGAGATGTGCCTTTATATATAAGAATCGAGACCTACAGCAGAGTGGTTGGTGTTTGTCTAGTCCCTGTGGAGCCAGCAGGTGTCATCAGAACCTTTATTTCTCCGATGGGAAGAAGGATAATTTTGTGTGCTGGGACATCTGCCCTTTTCTCTGACTTACTAAGTCTGTATCATGAGGCAGGACTTAGGCAGGCAGGAGAGACAAACTGAAACAAAAATCCCTAGAAAGTATTTCTGTCCTCTTGGGAGGTCATCCCAAAGCTTCTCCTGTAGATGTGAAATGCAAGTGCATATCTATCTTAAATTCCTGAAAGAATCAACTTTAAAGTCATGAATTACAAAAGGTATAAGTGATTTGTATGTCTAGGGAAAGAAAAAGGAAGGCATTATTGCATTTTCAAAGTCACAGAAAATATTGCATCAACTGCTTGTGATCTTCTGAACTTGGAATATGTATTTTCCTGCTACTGTTTATCCATATTCCATGTTTACATGCATTGTGCATGCATTTCCTTACTGCTGCAATAATCTAGTTGAATTCCTGTGTCTTGTACTCTTTGACTGTCTGGCCTGAAGCAATTACCTGGTGTAATGAAGAAATCTTTGTCCTTTGGCCTCTGTAAAAGTCAAGCAAAAAGATGCTCCCTTGCTCTTTTGAAATGTGCTGAGGTTTACTAAGTACCAAAAAAGCAGAGTTAGTGTTAGCCACAGTGTCCAGAGTAGCTGGCAAATAGCTGTGCATTGTGTTTGGTTTGTTTGTTTGTTTTTCTTTTAAAAATGGACATCAAATACAATAACCTGCTACAAGTCTGGTGCTAGTTCTCATGGCTTCAGTGTGAACTTCAAGTAGGCTGCACAGGATGGGTATATAAAAAATGTTTTCTTCCTAGAAAAAGTATGCACCTGCCTGGCTGTACTTCTACAAAATATTTAAGCAGGGGTTAGTTTTCATACAGGAATTATTGTCTTTCTTTAAAGTTAA